ATCACAAACTATGTACACTTTTTATCTGCCAAAAATAAGTCAATCCTGATGCAAGCAATATTTTAAATTAGACATTTGAAGAACAGCAGACAGAAATGGATTGCTAAAAGCTCAAAATAGACACTCTATAGCTTGCACTGTGAGCTTTCCGACGACAGAATTCACAATTCAAACTCTCTCAAATGCATATTAAATCATTATTATTGCTCCATTTGTGAATCCTTCAATGTTAATAAATTATTCATGTAAACCAAATTCTTCTTCTTCTATTCACTTCCCAACCCCCGTGAGCTTTCAATGTAGGCCACGTTAGGAGAAAAGCTCTCCTGTATTTATTTGTTTATGTGTAATAAAAACAATGAGAAATTAAATGCTTCAGCGCAGTCTTTTTTCTCGAGCTTTTTCTTTTGAAAAAAAAAAGGAAAACACTGTAACTGGGCAACGCGTTTCGACGTCACACACATTTTCGTTTCTTCAATATCACAATTCTCCTTCGTTGTCCTCTCACACCACTCATCCTATATCATAAGACACTGTAAATATGAGAGTACATAGAGAGACAAATTTAATACCAATTTAATAAATATAAAAGCAAAATTAGCTTTCCATGTTAGCTCTCATCATCCAAATTCACATTTTGACTGTTTTTTTCATGAATTCTTAATATCCATTACAAGAAATTTCCGGCAAGATTCAGGAGAATGATTTTAATCACAGCTTGAAGCTTCTCATATTCATTCAACCATAATTGTTACCACTACACAACGAAAATGGAAAAATTCACTGATTTTTCATTCACGTCAAGAGAAAATTCTTTACCCAAAATTTCACAGATAAAATGTGAAATTTGCTATACAAAGTTTGTCATCGACGTAAAATCATTTATCGATAAGCACACGATGAGGGGAAATCACATGAAAATGTTGAAGAGAGATGTATTTCTTTCACCCAGGATACTTTCCTTTGATACACCTACACACCAAAAATTCTCCCTCAATCTCTGCGTTCTCTTGAAAATTCGCCGAGATTTGAAGAGGCCGAACAAGAAGGGAAAAAAATGTGAATGGGACATAAAAGTTGACAAAGTGTTTCGTCTTTCATTGGGAGTATTCTTCAGATGGAAAATCATACCTGCAAAATTTCCCTTTGCGCCATTCCACCAAGTCAAAAAATTTCTTGTTACATTGAAATAAATATCGCAGAGATTTTCTCTCTTTTTTTCTCCTTATCATTTTCATCGGACGGGCAAAGAGAATTGGGGGGGGGGGGATTGAGCGGGTGGGAAAACAGCGACATAGCGTGGAAAATGTTTTTCACAGAGCAAAAAATCGTGTCTTTTCCCCCCTCGTAAAATCAATATGAGTCAACTTTTCGTGATGTTTGGAAATGAAGAGTACAATTCTGCGTTTTTGATATCAACTTTTCCTCCAAACCCACACACATTTGAGGGAAGCTTTTACACTCTCTTTCCCTCTCTCGCACACTCAATCACACTTCCACCCAAACAGGGAGGAAAAGTTGTTCTTCCACCGCTGTATTACATAAGCCACCCATTCATCCCACAAGTTCCGTTGCGTGGAAACCGGAAATGAACCAAAACGACGACAAATTAGGCAATATATGTGTTATATATTCTCCATCGTAATAAATTGTGTCAATAACTAAATACTTCAAATAAGAAATATATATAAATGCCTCAGCTTTTGTGCCCAGTAGCGGAAATCGAAGACAATATTCACTGAGCTTTTGCCCAAGGAATTGACGGCGAGTCACATGGTTACATCGATCACAGCCCAGCAACTCTATATTGAAATGCAAGAGAATCCGTACAAAATAATGCAATGGATTGATGGTGAGATAGGCAAAAGCTCACGACTCTCTCGTGATAGCATTTCCACCCCCACAAAACCAGAGAGGCCAGCAACTGCTTCCACACTGTGTCTGCCAAACATTAAATTCCGTCCAAAATCACACACAGCCACACTCACACACATAATGTACAAAAAATGTCTACGAATCTTTCTTCCTCGTCTTCTTGTGAACTTGGTGATAATTGTGCTAATCAATATCAATTATTTCGCGCTTCATACAAATCACAACTCAGATGAATTATCATGTGGCGTCAATTTTGTTATTCATCCATATATGGGGGCAAATTTAAATAAAATGTATCATGAGATCTAATGAACGGAAATAACAGAGCAATTTTAAAGTTTTCCACTACAGTAATAAGAAGTGATGTGGTGACAAACACCCTTTCAAATAAGTCATTCGAACAGTGCGGAAGTTGTCTTGTAACCTTAAAAATTTATAGTGATGAATATCAGTTGTTTCAAAGCAACAACAAAATGAAAAAATACGAATGGGCGGGGCACTTGAGTAGGCGGATCGGTAAATACAAATCGATTAAAGGATATTCATTTTATAGATTTTCCCAAAAAGATGATGAATCTCTGTTAAATTAATTAATATATACTTTCATACACAAAATTAAGAGGAAAGAGGCTTTAATCCCACACGGAAGCAGATATACTGTAATCTAGATGTGTATCTTGTGTTTACACAACCCAGCTGATCGTGATAACAGTCTTTTCATAAACAAAGCTTCGCAATTCCTCACTAAAAGCTACTTACATGCCCTCGTTGCTGTGGAAAAGGCAATAACACCGCGATTCCGATTGCATATTTTTGCAAAAAAGAACACCATATAGAATGAGAATTTATCTGATCAGTGAACGCATTCACACAATCAGCTGTCCGCCAATATTTCAATCACAAAAACCACCCTTAACCCCCTTCGATTTCACCCACATTCAGGTGAGAATCGTCACACACAAATGCATACATTCCACACTAAACTTGCAATCCACACTCAATATATTTTTAATTGATTTTCCCCAATTCGACGTTTTTATAATAATATCAAACAAATCCGTCTGTGCGCCTCTCAATAATTTTTTAGCAATTAAGCGTCCCGAATCCACTTAATTCAGCATCAATCCACCCCCTCCGGAATTCAATTTTCCACTCCCAAACTCGATGGAGGAGTGAAGCTGGGACGACTGAGATGGAGGAATTGTGTGCAGAAGTGTGAGGAAGGCGGTTGCAGAATAATCAATCAGAATTCTGTGCGTCATTTTCACGCACAAAAGTACGCGAGATGGAGAGGAAAATTTTCTCAATCAACATGCTTTCTCTGTCTTTCGCAGAGGAAAGAAATATCCTCAAATATGTATGATTTTCACAACGAATTTCTTGCAACGTGCCGTGATTCAAATTTGTGAGATATCTCACAAAACGAGAGTGTTCTTCGCCTCCGCAACTCCTCTTAACACAATCCTTATCATTTTGCATAGAAAACAACGAATATAGAAGAGATTCTTTGCGTCTAACAAAAGATACATTGAGGAAGTGAAACATACAGAAATTTCTTGCATACTTTAGGCACTTTATCAGGTATAATATTTTGCCTTAATACACCAATTAAAGCAACGAATATACATTTCTTAATAGTCGCGCACACGTCGGTTTAAATAAAATGCAGAGAGGCAAGAACACAGAGATAGTGAACATTAATGAGAAGAAGAATAATAAACTTTTTGAACGTTTGGACATTTGCGTCTAGAATCGATAAAAATTTAGATCTAAGTATATTCGCAAGGACACGCATTTTTTACTAAGTCGTTTTGCAATTCCTAAAAATGCAATTTGCACTTCCTGTCTTTCTCATGATCCATTCTGACTGTCCACATGGCGACTTCAAAGAGCATTTTTGCCGAACCACAATGGCAAAAGAGAACTGAAAAACAGTGAAAATGTAAGTACGAAGCTGAGCAAGCAACAATCAGGCATCAAAGACAAGCCAAACATGTTCCATGCTGGCGAAAACTCGTGCTTTCCACCAGCCCCACGAAAAAAAAGAACAGTCGCGCCTCGTCTGTGGCAGAAAAATGTCGATAAATTTTTATGCGACACTTCGATGAGATGAATAAATTAAATTGTCTACCATTGCACACAAACACAAACGCCGCGGAGAGGAAGAGAAAAACATCTTCGAAAGCCACGAACTTTTATCAGGCGCGCACACACGATAGTTTGATGTATTGGCCATGATGACGTCACGCCGTGACGGCGTGTGGCTGGTTGCGTGCGGCGCCCTTCGCTGGGGGCGCCCCGCGGGGCCCCTGTGTGTATTGAAAAAGTGGTTGGCAAATCGCGTCATCATATTAATAATTTTCCCCCCCATACAGACGCAGGCGTGGAGCAACTTCGCGACCTTGATATCACAATGTAATAAATACAAAAGCAACAAGTATGCAAATACGTATGGGGCGAACTCTGGTGTAGTGTGCGCACTGCGGGCCCGTGTTGGTGTTGCTTGCGTCGGTGTGCGTACGAGGGGCTCTCTATGGGCCTAATCAATGAATTTTCCATATGCTGAATCTCCCCCCAAAAGCGCCTAATCGATATATCAGAACTCACCTCAGCCGATCCGATCAGCGCCGTCCTCCAGGTCACATCATCCCGGCGCTCCACTGCCCAGAAATTGCCCGCGGCGCGTTGGACGATACGGGGGGAAAAGTGCGCGCCCCAGAAGTGTGTGCGAAAGCACTTGCAAAAATCAATGTTATCAAATTGATTTTTGTGTAGATGTGACGTCTCGGCACGGAGCAGCTTTTACTACATACGCCCACACACGTGTAACACCCCCGGGTCACTATTCACACCGTGCAACTCACTCTTCACGCACTGATTGGTGTTTTTCCACAGATTTTCGTGGAAATTTATCGCCTCGCGTAAAAATCAATCTGACACTTTTCAGAATGGGGATCCCATAGTCGTCACTCCACACATCAGAGGACTCTTCGGTCGCCACTTCCGCGCACACACCGCTATCTATCCCGCTCTCACTCATTACTCCAATTGGGCTCTCCTCTCTGCCAACCATCGCGCCATCTGAGTGCTGATCACATTCACCAGTCATTAAAAAAAACATGAGATTTTGCATTTGCCTCGCTTTATTATCGAAATTTGAGTAAATTGTTCTGCAGTGCAGATAATTCATGACTGGCGAGTGGCTTAATATCAAACTCCTTGGCCGGCGAGAGATGCTCCAAGTCGCGCAGTTCATTGACCAGATTCCTCTGTTCTGTCCTCAGCCGCTCGATATCATCTTCGATAACCCGCTGATCTGCAGAGAAACACCATAATTTTAGAGAAATTTCCTCCTTGCCCAATCCGCGATTTAACTACCTTTCTCGAGCATCGCCGCTGCTTTTTCCCTGGTCATCTGCACCAGTAAACATCCCACAGAGATCCAATGCTTTTCCTCATCGCTTTTCTTCACTTCCCGCAGAGCCTCTCTGTTCGCCTGACGTCTCTTGTCCAACTCAACAATCTCCTGCTTGTTCATCAGTATCTTGTCTGCCACTCGTTCAGTCGCCTCGAGAAGCTCAATAGTCTTTTCCGCGTCTGATTTCATCTCACGCGACTGAAACAATAGAGATATCATGAAAGCTGCTGACGGAACCGCCTCTCTCGCGCCTTTTCGTTCGTAAATTCCCTCTGGATATCCTTCCTGCTGCGTTCACGCACTGGCCGGTGTCTCCTGGCCACAGCATCCGGGTCTCTAGCACCAAAGTGCGTTACTCTTGCCGGACTCTGTTCAATTCCAAAACCAGTTCTGCCTCTCCTGAGGACAGTCTTCACTGGAAACAGTCTTCCACTGCCCGTTGGCCCCAGTCCGTCCTTCTTATTCCATCCCTGCTTCAGCATGATTCGGCATCCGCGATTAGAGTCTGATACAGGGAAGCGCTGCTGATAGGAAATCGAACTCTTCCGGTTGAATTGATGCAGAGTTGAGGTTTCGTGCTCTTCTCTTGATGTTTCCTTGAATTCCAGACGGCAAATTTCACAAAAATGTGGAGAAATCTCCAATGCAGTGTCTTCTTGAACTGCCTGAGGATTAGATATCTCCTGAACTATTTGCAAAATGCTGTTATGGCCTTTTTTTCTAGCCAGACTCTCGACAGAGTTCCCGTGACCATCACAAGCATTTACAGAGGCTCCTGCCTCCAGCAGAAGAGCAAAACTATCCTCAGCGCCTTCACAAGCAGCCATCATAAGTGCTGTCCATCCGAAATCATCCACAGTCTCCACATATTTATGGAAATCCATTTCCCTTAGGATTTTTGTGTCATTATTCACAGCAGCCCTGAAGAACACATTTCTATTGAATGGCTTTTGCACTAATTGCCTTACTTTCTTCCTTTTAGGAAGTTTCTCTATCTCCTTATCCTTCTTCTCTACTTCCTGTGTGACTGCCTCATAAAACTCCTTCACTTCTGAACCTGTGTATTCGCAGTTTATCTCCCGAGTTTTCTCTGTTTTCTCTTCATGTTTTGACGTTGAAGGTTCACTTTCTCTCACAAAGATTTTCCGCTTAAAATCCACTGTGGCCAATGCTTTCCAATTGGGGTGCATTCCTCGAGGATTAAAAAACACCTTTCAATCAAAATCCGTGAAAATACACACCTTTTCTACCTGGAAAATCGTGGAAAACTCTCACAAACGTTTTGTTTACATTCTCCAGATGTCACACTGTTGTCAATATCAGCCACAGTCAGCGCTGTGGTCGCCATAGAAATTTTTTCCCAAACAAAAATACGTGGAAAAGGAAGGAAAACTTCTGCTAAAAGAGAGTTTTCCTGGTATTTCCTTTCACAAAAAGATGCCGCGGAGGAAGAAGTGCAATCTAATTGTAAATAATAACGAAGGTGAGTGGTGAAATGAGTAAAAAAGGATTTCGGGCAGTGACAGCCGATGACGCTCCCCTTTTTTCCCCCAATCTTTTGCAGCAAACGATGCTGATGGGAGAAATGATGAAAACAGAAGTGCGAGAGGACAGAGAAAGGCCAGACATACTGCCAGGAAGTTGAGAGATTCATCTTCAGACGAGGAATTTGAACTGGTCAACATTGATGAGATAATTCACGATCCTCCGGAAGAAGCTGAACCTGAAGGCATCCCAAATACCTGCACAGTGTATGACAACAATGGAATGAAGGAGTATAAGTGCAGCAAGTGTCCAAAGGTCTACACACGTCCCAGTAAGCTGAGAAAACACTTCCGGAAACACACTGGCGAGACTCGAGCAAAGTGGTACAACTGTGAGCAATGTTCCAAGCAATTCTCCACCGCTCTGAAGCTGGATAAGCATGTAATCCGACGCCATGGCAATGAAACGCTTACTGAGAATGCGGGAAGCTCCAGAGAAACTTCAAAAGTCGTTATTAAGAAGGAACCGGACTTCTTTGAAGAAGGTTCCGATGTGGACATCAAGCAGGAGATGGAGCTTGAGGATGAGGGGATCCTGCAGCCGAAAACTGAGCTGTTTGAGTATTCACCTGCTCGACCGGGTTCTTCGCGATCCTCCGAGTTCTATCCCGAGGACGAATTGAAGTCAGAAGACTTGCCAGAGAGAGACCCTATACCGCCTGTTGAGACTGAAGAAGGGAGAGATGGCCAGGATGTGTGTGAGGACTCGCCTAAGAAGATCATCAGAAGAGCGAGACGAGTGAGAGATGAGGAGGAACAATTGGAAGTGAGAAAGAAGCGCAAGAAGAGGACAGCGTCAAAGGTGAAGGAGCCGAAGGAGAAGAAAAAGAGACTCTCTAGGATGGAATTGTTTCGACTCAGGCCCCACAAGTGCCCCCACTGTGTTAAGAGGTATACAGCGAAAGAGAATTTGGAGGCTCATATGGAATTTCACACAAGGCGTGAGAATCCCTTCCCGTGTGACAAGTGCGAGATGTCCTTCAACACCTTCGGTGCTCTTCGCTTTCACATTGGCAAAGTGCACGTAGACAGGAACTGCAAAGTGTGCGGAGAATTAATGGCCACGCTCACGGATCAGTTGCGACACAAGACGATGCATCAGAACAAGGAGGAGTACAAGTTTGAGTGTGACATCTGCCATAAGCGCTTCGCTCGGGGGCCTTCAGTTACGCTACACAAGGAGAAGATCCACTCCGGAGGGCCGCTGAAGTGTCTCAACTGTCCGGAGAGCTTCACGAAGCCAGTGTATCTTCTTGGTCATGCGCTGGAGAAGCACGGAGATGACAAGCCGTTCGGCTGCACACTTTGCAGTTACCGCAGCAATCGCCAATACCATGTGGACATCCACTTCCGATCGCACTCTCTGGACATGCAATTGCATTGCGATGTGTGTGGGCGCTTTTTCACCAACATGAGCAATTTCAACACTCACAAGAAGGAGCACGAGAATAATCCCGCCGACGTAGACTACAGGACGTGCAAAGTGTGCGGGAAAGTATTCGCGCGGCGGACCTACCTCAATAAGCACATGAAGATACACTCGGGCGATTTGCCCTTCCAGTGTGCCGACTGCGAGAAGAGATTCACAACGAAGGGACAACTCGTCGCCCACATGATCATCCACTCGAATGTGCGGCCGTACCAGTGCGAGATCTGCGCCAAGACATTCCCTCGCTCGGGCACATTAAAGATCCACAGGCGCTTTCACACCAACGAGCGACCTTACCAGTGCCGCGTCTGCTCCAAGGCTTTCCACTCAGCCACGCTGAGGAAGACCCATGAAAAGACCCACACAGGAGACACGCGGAAGTACACCTGCACCTTCTGTGGGCGCGTTTACGTGAGTCACAAATGCTTCAAGGCGCACTTGCAAATGCACCAGACCAACGAGGTGTCCTACAATTGTCCCACCTGCGGCATCTGCTTCATGAAAATGTCCAGGCTTAACAAGCACATCCTTACGCACGTGAAGGGACTCGTCCCGGATCATCAGGAGCCACAATTGAATGTTCAATAAATATTGGAAAGTATCAACACTTCACTTTTTCGGCTGTGTCTTGATTGAAGAAATACTAAAATATAAATATGGAGCCAATAAACCTATCTACTTGGCTCCTAGTAAAATTTATGAATGTAGAAATAGCGGAAAACGCGGAAAAGATACCGCGAAAAGTTTTATTTCGGTTGCTGAGCATTCAGCCGAAAAGTCCAGCCAAATTTCGAATTGTGTCTCGGCTAACCGAAAAGACAGTTGAATTCAAATTTTCGTTTCGAAGAATAAAACATCGAATGCAAAACATAGCAAATCCGACAACCCCCCACCCCCATTGTTTACAAACGTAAGCAAAATAAGCAGCAATACAAGTAATGTCCTTATTTTGCGACGTTGAGGACTCTTCACAGATAAAAAGTGCCACAGGAAGTGAGACTGAAGAGGTGTGTAGAATATGCGTCGAGAAGTGCACTGTGTTCCAGAGTATCTTCAGGGAAAATGACCAAGAATATTTGTCACAGTATTTCGGGATTCTTGTGAGTATGAGAGCTTTATGTTGAATGAAAATAACTGATTATTCCTCTGCTCTGCAGGTGCAGGAGACGGATAGTTGGCCAAAGTCCATCTGCAGTCTCTGTCATGATCAGATGAAAGTTGCTATGCAATTTATCATCAAAGTCCACAACAGCGAGAAGCTTCTTTGTGGTTTGTTTGGAAGGTTGCGGCAAATCCCTGTGAAGCCAGACATCGAGATTGTGGAAGTGAAAGAGGACCAAGAGAAGTGTGAAAATGAAGATGATGAGCACAATCTAGGAAGCGAATCGTCTACTAGTTTTGATGATCATCAGGAGGAAACATTGTCAAATGATGAAGATTCTCATTCAGATCCTCTGGGGACTTCTGCAAAGGATGTGCTCGAGACATCTGAGCAAAACAAATTGCGGAATGATAAAGAGAAACGAGACGTACAGTTGAGTCGCATAGAAGAATTCTTTAAAATGGACTGCGAAATATGTGACAAGAAGTGTGCGAAATTGAGAGATTTGCAGATTCATTTCCGCCAAGAGCACAAGCAGAAAGCTTTTGTCGTGTGCTGCAAGTCCAAATTCAGGCACAGGTGCAAAATTCAGGAGCATATGGAACTTCATCTCAATCCTGATGCCTTCAAATGTGTGGAATGCGGTAAGATGTCGAGGACAAAGTACAATCTTCATCTGCACATGAAGAACAGTCACACCCCGAAGGAGTTTCACAAATTCATGTGCGACAAGTGTCCAGCCACTTTCATGACGATGGAGAGATACAAAAAGCACGCATTTGTCCATCTACCAGAGGACAAGAAGGCAAACAAGTGCCCAAAGTGCAGCAAAGCCTTCGCCTTCAAAGCGAATCTCAGAATCCACGTTGAGCAGGTGCACAATAAAGGACCTTCAGAGCACATTTGTGAGGTGTGTGCAAAGATTTTCAGCAATGCTGAAGTTTTTCGTCGTCACTCGAAGACCCACTGCAAAGAGAGACTGCGGAAGTTTTCCTGTAACACCTGTGATAAGACATTTGTGTATGAATATCACCTGAAGAGGCACATACTGAGGCACAATGACTCTGGAGAGACGTTTGTGTGTCATATTTGCGGAAAGAGTGCGCCGAATGGACCGGCTTTGAATGCCCACATCAATTACGTTCACATCAAGGAGAGGAATCACAAATGCAACCAGTGCGACAGCGCTTTCAAGACACCCAGAGCGCTCAGGCAGCATGTGATTTGCCATCACACTGGAGAAGTGCTCTACACCTGCGTCTTCTGCTATAAGAGATTTAAATGCAGAACGTCCAAATACTTCCACCAGAAACATCAACATCCGGCGGAGTACAAAGAGATGCAGGAGAAGAAGAAGGCTCAGTAATTACTCGAAGAATAGGTGAAATGAACACATGATCTCAACAAAGGGTGGTGAAAACACAATAAATATAAGTAAATTGTTCCTAAAATCCTGATTTCCTTTCTTTAATGTTTCTCTACGTTTTTCCTGGTGGCAACTTATTCTGCTTCATTGCCTCGTACTCAACAGGATGCTTCCTCTTCTGGTGCACGTACTTGTTGGCGTTGCTGTTGAATTGCTTGGGACAGAAGAGGCAAGTGTAGAGGATCTGGCTGGAAGTGTGAGTGGCCATGTGTTCCTTTAGTGCAACTGGTGTCTTGAAGGCGCTGCTGCAGAGATTACAACTATGTTTTCTCGCTGTCTTATGACTGTACTGAATGTGACGCGTGAGGGCGGATTTATTGGGCGATTCCTTGCCGCAGATGTCACATTTGAAGACTTCTCCAGTCTGGTTATGGCGCTCCATGTGAAGCTGCAGTAACCTAGGACGTTTGAAGAGTTTCCCACAAATTGTGCAAGCGTGCTTTCCAACTCCCGAGAAGTAATGATTCTCCATATGAAGTTGGTAAGTGTATTTTGACTTAATTTCCTTCGCACATATCTCGCAAATGTGCTTATTGCGTCCCTCGTGAGAGTGTCTGATGTGCTGTGTCAGGATGGAGTTCAGAGCAAAGGCCTTATCGCACTGAGGACACTTGAATTTCTTTTCCGCCTGTGGCATGTGAGATTGTCGATGTGTCCTTAACCGATACAACGTCGCAAAACTCCGCGGACAATCTGGGCACTTGTACTTGAGGTCGTCCTTTGTGGCATGACGATTCAGCTCATGGTGTTGCAAGCCATGTGCAGTGTGGTAGGTCTTTGAGCACTTTGTGCACTTGTAGGCATTTGGATTCGTGTGGTAATTGAGATGAGCAACGATTTTTGTGCGATTATTCAATTTCTTATCACAGCATATGATAAATGCTTCCTTTTTGTGAGCTTTCTGGCAATGAGATTTCAGGACTTTGAACTTATCGAATCCCTCCGAGCAAAAGTTGCACCGTAACGTGAAAAAATTCTTTATCCTTTCGTCGTCCTCGTGCAGTTTTTCAGCGTAATTTCGATTTATCCTTATAGGAGTTTCAGTAGAATCTATTTCTTGAGGTAGACTTTCGGTATTCTTCCTGCCACTCCTGGTGGTCAGTGTATATTCAGTTAAGAATTTCTTTCTGGGTCTACCACGTCTTCTAGTAAACTTTGAAACTCCTAATTCGTCAGAGGATGAGGGATCAGGAATATATTCATCCGACGTATCGTCCTGTGACGCCTTTGACTCAGGTTCCAGAGAGATTTCCTTCACATCAATCAATTCAATGTCGGGCTTTGTTACTATCGCTTCCGCCAACTCGCCAAACAGAGTCCGGAAAGTGGTTTCTGCTCTCCGGACACTCGACATGAAATCCACAGACACTTTCGCAGCTTCCCAGCATTTCTGGCAGATGAATTTCGGCCAATTGTCCGACTCTTGCACCTGAAATTTGACAAATATCAGTACAATTCCACTCACAATTCCTTATTTTGTCCACAACAATTCCACTCACGGATATTCCAAGGAATGAAGACAGAGATTCATTGAGATTTTCTTTGAATATCGATGAATATTGGCTTCCTCCTTGAGCACAGAATCTGCACAATTCCTCTTCATCTGCAGTTGACTCAGTTTTCACCTCACTTTTTACGTTATCAAGATGAAAAGACATTTTTCTAGATCTGCAAAGTCTTCATTGTTTATTTTGGTGCTTGACGTCCTTGACAGATTGCTCGCTGTGTGAAGTTTATAGCAAGAAACTTTTTCATTTGCAACTACTTTTTTCGCTTCTTTATTATTTTCACAATTCTCTGGATTCTTCTGCAGTTTTGTTTTACCACTCCATAGAATGGGCGAAATAAGACACGTATTTGGTGATTTAGTGTTGCTATGTAGCTTCTTTGGATAGTGAAAGCAAGTAAGCAACAAAAAGGTTTTGTCAACACTGTAATGTTTGAATAGGTAGAAAAGATTACCTTCAGGAGGCGCTCAATTTTGTTTCGAAAGCAACCCACACACTCGCACTTTACTGTCCGTGTATATTTGTGTTTGGGTTGAGCTGTCAGAATATTTCGGGAAGCTAAAAAATATACAAACACACTTCTGTTTGACACTCCGATGCAGAAAGATCTACTCCCGCGAATAAATCTTATTTCTGCATAAATACTGGTGTGATTTTTACAAAAACCATCTTAAAAACACCCCCAGCGGGTGCTGTGACTTATCTGTGGTGGATAGTGATTGATAAATTACATAAAATCAGGAAAAACTGTGAAAATATACGTGCCCTGACATCACACAAAGGGCCATAAAACCATAACATTGTGAAATTCCTCTGAGAAGTAACAAAGACTCTACAATACTCAAGTAGTGATGTCTGATCCTGGGGGCAGTCGCCCCCAGGACCCTGGGGGTCCTGGCGGGACTGCAGAAAGACCTTTTGTGCGCGAACCGAACTTTTACTTGGATGGAAGCTATTATGGTGACTCTTTTCGAGTGGTGATTGCCAAAGACAATGCAGTGAGAAACATAAATGACAAAATAAACGATATGGACGTTGGGATAGCACTCAACAAAATCTTTCCGGCTGGAGAAATTGAAGAAGTTGCGAAAATAAGCAGAAACAATGTCGTTGCTTATTTCAAAACGATGACAGGCGCCAATTCCTGTGTGAAAGAAGAGAAGTTAAAGCGCTTTGGATTCAAGAGCTTTATTCCCACGTACTACGTGGCATCACTGGGAATTATCAATGGGGTTTCCACTGAACTTACTGAGGAGGAACTGAAAGACAAGATTCTGACTGTGAATGGAAGTGATATCAAGGTGAAAAAAGTGATCAGAATTACGCGTAAAGATGGCGAGAAGGGACTTGAAGCTTTTGTTAAGACTGAGAGAATCAAAGTTCTGTTTCATGGTACTATCCTTCCCCGAGAAATCGTGTGCGAATCTGCTAAGCGATACGTGAACTATCAAAACCGGAGGATTCTGCAGTGCATGAAGTGCCTGAGATTTAATCATCATGAAAGACAATGCAAAGAGGGAACAGCAATTTGTGCCCAATGTGGAGAATTGAGAGACCATAAAGAACCCTGTGAGAACAGCAAAAAATGCGTCAATTGCTGGAACAATGATACCAATGAGCATGCAGCGACGGACCCAGAGTGCCCAGAAAGGATCTCAATCAAAGAAATAAACCAAATAATGAGAGAGAAAAACATGTCCAGAGGAGAAGCATATCGAGCGAAAAATCACCAAAAAAGTGATGCAAGATCCTATGCCAACATCTTAGCGCAAAATATGTTTGATGGACTTGACCAGGACGAGGAGAACCCAGAACTCAACGCACTGAATCAGAGGAAGCGAAACAGACCACCCCGAAGAAGAGGAAGAAGAAACTTCACCATCAAAGGCTTCAAGAGGAACATTAATCAGGAAATCACCGAAGGATCATCAGAAGAAACAGCTGAAAACACCGAAAATTGTGAGGTAAACACTGAGAACAACATTCATGCTCCATCTACCTCCAGATTCACCAGAAAACAAGCACCGCAATCAAAACCACAGCAAACTGACCAAGAAGAGAAAGACACAGTGGAAGCAGCCACAACACTGGCCAGCCTTGTGAAAGAAATGAGAGAAAAAAGACAACACACAACGTCATCATCAGACGAACAAACTCAACGAATCTACAAGAAACCAAAAAACAACATAAGAACAGTAAATAATACCAACAATACTCAACAAGATAATAACCAGTGGGTCTTGCCCAGCTCAAATAATGAAGATGAAAGCATGTCAGAAGATGAACCTTTGTCCGATTTACAAAACATTGACCCAAACAGGGACAATGTTAGTTTTCGGAAATAAAGTAAAGCAATACAATCTCCTTAATTGGAATATAAATGGATTTTATAAACACTATGAAGATTTAAAAATACTTATCAATGAACTCGAACCAAATTTTATTTGTATTCAAGAAACTAGATTAAATGATTTTAATTATCCTATTCTCAAAAATTACAATATCGAACACAAGAATTATTATGATGGAAATATAAGCAGTGGAGGCGTCCTTATAGCTGTTAAAGAAGAATTTGAATATGAACTAATTAATACCAATTGCCCTTTGCAAGCCATTGTTATTAAGCTCAACAGTCCTACAACCTTTTATCTATGTACAATTTATTTACCACCTCAATATAATAGAGAAATTATCAAAAGTCTGGAGGGTCTTATATTAAGACTTCCTCAACCATTTTTAATAGTAGGAGATTTTAACGCCAAAAATCCTATCTGGGGTGATCAAACTTCTGATAGTCGAGGCGATAAATTAGAAAAATTAATATACGACCATGATTTAATAGTATTGAATAATGGCGAACCAACCCATATATGGCACAATGGGAAAACATCTTGCATAGATATTGCTCTCTGTTCAGCTTCGTTAGCAAACCTTATAAATTTTCAAACTTACGAAGAACCTCTTAGTAGTGATCACATACCTCTTTTATTAAATTTCAATTTCCTCCAGAATGCCGACTCCAAACTTCCTAATTGGAAACTTGATAAGTGCAATTGGGAAAAATTTTACACAGACTCCTACCTTATGAATATTGACCAAGATTCCTTTGAAAATACATATCAACAATTTTGCACCCAACTAATCAATATTGCCAATAATAACTGTCCTAAATCCAAACCATCAATTAAGAAGCCACTACCATGGTTTACTAAAGAACTTCGTATGAAAATAAAAACAAGGAAAAGACTTTATAGATCATTTAGGAGAACACAAAATTCGACCACCTTAGCAGAATACAAAGAACTCAAAGCAGAAATCCAAAAATTGTTACGAAGCTCCAGGAGGGATAATTTTGACAAGTACATATCCACAATTAATAGCGAAACTAGTTTGAAAGAAATCTGGAATAAAATCAATATATTTAATAGAAAAATAAACCAGAATGAAGTTAAAATACTCAAAATCAATGGTAACATAATTGACAACTCTAAAGAAATAGCCAATATTTTTGCCCAAACTTTCTCCCTGAATTCTTCTGACAATTACTACAATAGTGAGTTTAAACTTACCAAAACTCTGATAGAAAATAATTTCACACTTCCTCATCAAACAAATAATGATCTCAATATAACATATAACCAGGAAATCACCATACAAGAACTGAAGAATGTCATCAAGGAAGTATCAGGATCCTCTCCGGGACCAGACGAAATTCATTATGCCTTTATTAAAAATCTAAGTGAAAAGGGTCTGGATATTCTGCTTCAAACATATAATGAAATATATGATGGAGCGTATTTCCCAGAATCTTGGAAAACTGCTTGGGTTAAGCCAATTTGTAAGCCTGGTAAATGTAACTCAGATCCATCCAATTACCGACCCATTTCAAGAACTTCTTGCCTATCTAAAATTCTCGAAAGAATTATAAATAAGCGACTAATTTTCTACCTAGAAGAAAACAAAATTTTATCTCAATTTCAAGCAGGCTTTAGACGAGGCAGAACTACTAATGATAATTTAATTCAATTGACTAACGATATCCACGTTGCATTCAAAAATAAAAAACATCTCTATGCCATATTTTTTGATATAAGCAAGGCATATGATCAAGTTTGGAAGACTGGAATCTTAAGAGAACTTATAAAAATTGGAATCAAAGGAAAAATGTTGAACTTCATAAGCAAATTTCTTTCCGATCGAAAAATTCAAGTCTATAATGGAAACAATTTATCAAATCTACACGAAATTAAAAATGGTATACCACAAGGTTCCGTAATCTCGGTCACACTATTCCTCATTTACATTAACTCGATCTTTGAAAATATCCCCCAGGAAGTTCAATCATTAATGTACGCAGACGATTTAGTAGTATATTTTGCAGATCATGACGATAATAAAATTCAAAACACACTCTCAATGACAATAGAAAACTTAGAACAGTGGAATAAAAAATATGGCCTTAACTTCAATTCTGACAAAACTAAAATGATCCACTTCTGCAAACTCAGAAAACCGCACAATAATATTCAACTCAATCTCTATGGAAATACTATAGAATGTGTTGAGAGTTACAAATTTTTAGGAATAATTTTTGACAGTAAACTTAAATGGGAAGCTAATACAAGATTAATTAAGACAAAATGCTCCAAAAGACTAGATATTATCAAATGTGTTGCAAGGAAAAAATGGGGTATATATAGGAAAACTTTAATGATGATGCATAATGCACTAATCCTCAGTACCTTAACTTATGGCATAGTGGCGTACGGCAGTCTCAACAATAATTTCTTTAAAAAACTTAAAAGCTCTTATCATAGTAGTATCAGACTAGTAACAGGGGCACATAGAACTAGTCGAATTGAATACTTACTAGTAGAAGCAGGACAATTACCTTTAAACTTGATATACAAGAAATACACCCTAAACTATGGTTTAAAAGTGGCAACAAATAGTGATCATCCCCTCTTCGATTTATACAATAGTGCCTTAGATATGTCCAACCTCAATACATTGAGCCCAATAGCAAAAATATTCCGTGATATACTAGATGAACTTAATATACAAACACCACCCTTAGAAGTCAATAATAGCTACGACTGGAACCCACAAACACAAAATAAAATAAATATAGACTTAGCATTAAGTAAATCTAAAAAACCTCAAATAACAAAAAAGGACGTAGACCAAAAAATTTTGCAATACAATAATCACAAACAAATTTTCACAGACGGTTCTAAAACTATAGACCACACTGGGCTTTCAGTTATTCTCTCTAACATTGAAATATCTTTCCAAATCCATAAAGAATGCTCAATATTCACTGCAGAAGCAGTTGCAGTATTAGAAGCTCTAAAATACATACAAGTAGACGACCAAGACAATAAAAACATAGTAATTTTCTCGGATTCCCTCAGTACAATAAAAGCAATCAATAACATAAATATAAAACAGAGTCGAGTTATCAAAAATATAGTTGAAACATCCAATACCATTATAAGAGAGCAAGACTATAACATAACAATTTGTTGGGTCCCGGGCCATATAGGGGTTGAAGGCAATGAAATGGCTGACAAAGCAGCCAAAGAAGCTAATGATCTTAACACTGAATATAAAGTGCCTTATTTAGACGTAAGAAATGTTGTTAAAAGTAAACTAAAAGATAGATGGAATGTATTATGGAGTAATCTAGAAAATAACAAGATGTTTAAGATCAAAACCAATGTAAACAAATACACAACTGTAAATAGAAGCAATAGGAAAGAAGAGACTATTTTAACTAGACTTAGGATTGGTCATACTGGTATTACACATAATTCAATATTCACCAAAACATACCCAACAAAATGTTGTGACGTAGATTTAAGTGTTCAACATATACTAATAGATTGCATAAGGTTCCGTAGTATAAGAGGAGAGATGAAATTAAAGGACAAAATAGAAAATTTACTGGATGACGACGAGGATGAAGTACTGAAAACATTGAAATTTATTGATAAGATAGGTTTAAGTAGAGAAATATAAGAATAAGTTATAAGTTATAAGTAGTTATAATGTTAATGTACAGATGGCGATACCTTCTATTAGAAGACGTCAAATAAAGAATAAGAAGAAAATATACAAACATGTCAAGTAGTCAGGATTTTGATCAGAAAATCCTCATAAAAGAGGAAATAAGATCGAAAGGAGATGAAGTGTGTCGTTTGTGTGTTGGGAAGTCTTTCGAATACTCCTCAGTATTTTTGGATAATCTCCATGAATCTCTCAAAGTGTGTCTGGGAGTCTCGGTGAGTTACTGGCGGTTTTCCCTATTTTTCCGCTCTTTCCCCTAATAATTCTTCATCTTCCAGATCCAGGAATCGGATAACTGGCCAAAATACATTTGCCGACAATGTCTGGACATGGCTAAACTATGTGTGAAGTTTGTTGGCACGATCCGACAGAGCGAATTGACCCTTCAATCTCTGTACGGAGACTTGCGAGATGTGGAGATAAAGCCTGAAATTGAGATGGTGGATATAAAGACACTGCCAGTTGAGGTGGAAATAGAGAGTGATGGACTGGAGGAGATTACAATGAGTCGCAAGAGATCACTGAGGAGGTCAGGGCAGAAGGAGTCTGTGAAGCCTCCGCCGAAGAAGCGAGGACGCCCTAGAAAGCAGCCAATGCCGGAAATTAAGTGTGAGAGCGACATAAAGCCGTCTTCCCCGGAACCTCCGTCTCCAGTGCTGTTAGACAAGTTGTCTCCGTCTCCTACTTCCCCGCCGACATCACCGTATCTCCAGGAGTCCTCGAGTGACGAGGATGAAGATGAGGATAAGATCCCTGTGAAGGTAGCTAAGAAACGCGGACGTCCTCGCAAAGGGACAGTCATTGCCAAGCGAGAAAACCCGGTGAAACGCATAGATCGACAGTACAATAAAGAACTCGCAGAGGAGAACATCAGGAAGATTGAAGAATTCTTCAAGATGGACTGCAACCTGTGTCAGCAATCCTACACGAAATTGAGAGATTTGCAAGCTCACTATCGCGAGGTGCACAAGAGGAAGGGTTACGTTGTCTGTTGCAATGTGAAGTTTAATCGACCGTCGAAGATTCTACAGCACTTTGATCACCACATGAATCCGGAGGCATTTAAGTGTTCAGACTGCGGGAAGTCTTTCAAGAATAAGTACGGTCTGAGGCTCCACACGGAGAACAGTCATACTCCACCAGAGTTGCACAAGTATAAATGTCCCAACTGCCCGAAGACCTTCATGAGCATGATTCGGTACAAGAAGCACTCCTTTGTGCACGTGACAGACGCTGAGAAGAGCCACATTTGTCCTCACTGCAGCAAAGCGTTCGCCTTTAAGGCCAATTTGCAGATTCACATTCGGCAGATGCATGAGGAAGTGGCGTATCACGTGTGTGAAATTTGTGCGAAAATGTTTAAGAATAAGGATGTCTTCTTGCGCCATCAGAAGATACACACTGGAGAGAAGATCGAGAAGCTTCCTTGTCCAGTGTGTGGAAATTCCTTCAAGTACAAGGCTCAGCTGAAGCTCCACATGAAGCGACATAACGACTCTGGACAGGTGTTCAGGTGTCATCTATGCAATAAGGAATCGCCCAATAGTTTGGCTCTGCATGAACATATCAAGTATGTCCATGTGCGTGAGAGGAAGCACAAGTGTAATCTTTGCAGTAGCGCTTTCAAGACACCTATTGGGCTCAGGGAACACATGGCCACTCACACTTCCAGCCAGATCCTCTACACTTGCCTCTTCTGTCCCAAGCAATTCAACAGCAACGCCAACAAGTACGTGCACCAGAAGAGGAAGCATCCTGTTGAGTACGAGGCGATGAAGCAGAAGAAAACTTTCGAAAATCTTTGTGACATGGAAACAAACAATTAGAGAAAGACAATTTGGTAATTTATTACAACTGAAGATGTACGTTTTTTTCACACAATTTAAAATAAAATCGTTTTAATCACTGCAAACAAGACAATCTCAATTTCTGATCACGATTTTGGTCAAGATTATAAAGCAATTAGAAACATTTGTGGTATTGCTAGTGTTAACGGGCATTTTATGCCGATTGTGGGCAACGAACTGAACCGAAGGCGGGCATCACAAACTGTCATGGATTTGTAAATAACATTTGGAGAATTTCTATAAAAATGTCTCTGGCCAATCTAGAATTGAAGTGTGAGGTGAAAACTGAGTCAACTGCAGATGAAGAGGAATTGTGCAGATTCTGTGCTCAAGGAGGAAGCCAATATTCATCGATATTCAAAGAGAATCTCAATGAATCTCTGTCTTCATTCCTTGGAATATCCGTGAGTGGAATTGTTGTGGGCAAAATAAGGAATTGCGAGTGGAATTGTACTGATATTTGTCGAATTTCAGGTGCAAGAGTCGGACAATTGGCCGAAATTCATCTGCCAGAAATGCTGGGAAGCTGCGAAAGTGTCTGTGGATTTCATGTCGAGTGTCCGGAGAGCAGAAACCACTTTCCGGACTCTGTTTGGCGAGTTGGCGGAAGCGATAGTAACAAAGCCCGACATTGAATTGATTGATGTGAAGAATTTGCTGATAGATTCTGAGATGGAGGACAATAATTCCGATGAGGTGTCTCCTGAGGAAAGCCCAGAGCCTTTAGAGAAGAGACGTGGGAAACGAAGAAGAGCGACACACATAAAAGATACTGCAAATCCTGCGAAATGTGTGAAAAGGAAACGAGAGTCTGTGAAGAGTGTGAAGGCAAAGGAAGTCCTTGTAAAATGTCGCCGAAGTCCTAGTATTTTGGATGAAGAGGAGCAAAGGATTAAGGAGTTTTTCAAGTTGGAGTGTCGCACTTGCAATGAGAGTTTTGATAAGTTGCGAGACTTCCGAGCTCATGGATTGAAGGTGCACAAGGAGGAGTCCTTTATAATGTGCTGTGATAAGAAGTTGGATAATCGGACAAAGATAGTGACTCATCTCAACAGCCACATTAATCCCAATGCGTTCAAATGTGAAAAATGCGAAAAGTCCTTCCTCACCAAGATGGGCTTGATTAAGCATGAGCTTAACAAGCATGTTCCACCGGAACAGCACATTTACAAGTGCGACAAGTGTCCCAGTACCTTCATGACTCTCTGTCGTGCTAGGACTCACGAGGCGAAGCATATGAATGAGGAGGAGAAGAGATTTAAGTGCCCACAGTGCGAGAAAGCCTACGCCTTCAATGCTATGCTTAAGCAACACATGAGACATGCCCATGATGAGAGCAATAGGCACGTCTGTGAGATTTGCGCTAAGGTCTTCAAGTCGAAGTACACTTATCAGATTCATCTGGAGAATCACATGGATAACGGAACCAGAGATTTCCCATGTCCGATGTGTGGGAAGGCTTTCAAGCGCAAGCGACTGCTGAAGGTTCACGTGGAGCGGCACAATAAGACCGGGGAGATCTTCAAGTGCGACATGTGCGGCAAGGTGTCACCGAACAGAAATGCTCTTAAGAATCACATCGAGTACAGCCATTTGAAGGTGAGGAAGTTCGAATGTAATCTGTGCAGCAGCGCCTTCAAGACGGCGTTGGGACTGAAGGAACATGTGGCCACGCATTCCTCCAGCCAGATCCTCTACACATGCCTCTTCTGTCCTAAACAGTTCAACAGCAACGCCAATAAGTATGTGCACCAGAAGAGGAAGCATCCTGTTGAGTATGAGGCGATGCAAAAATCTAAGGCTGGCAAATAAAATAATTGGCAATGATAAAAAGAATCCCCCTTTGACCCCGACGTGATTTGAACACGCAACCTTCTGATCTGGAGTCAGACGCGCTACCGTTGCGCCACGGAGTCTCGCTATGTACATATAATCGTTTATTCTCACATCGAATGGCAGAGAGCTATTTTCGTCTCAAAAATAGTCTTATATAACTGCGATAAGGAGGAATGTGAGCACTACTGGTGACCCCTGTGATTTGGCATCGACTGTTTATTAACATTCAGCTCAATTGGAATTTGTATTGCTGTGATAAGGATGCGGTGCGTGGATCGATAAGGGATTCAGGAGGAAAAAAAGTTTAAATGAAAAAATGCCTAAGTTTTGGCGTCAAGACATGCCGGAATAGATAATATTTCCCTTTACCGTACTTTAAAAGTTCTACATCAGTTGCATTTTAGGCAAAGAAAATGAAAGTAAAATGATGGATGATGATTTTTCGAAAGTGGTCCCGAGGGAAAATATTTCATAGCTGAATAATGGGATGTTTAAGCCAAGGGAGAGATATAATAGTCAAAGTTTATGGTCAGTCAGGAAATTTCTATTAGCGAATCTACAAGTCAGAATAACTTAGAACGGATTATGATATGGATTATTTAATCTTGAGTACATAAGCACTTCTCTAAACTTGCGTACAGATTTCTAGACGTATTTTTATCTTTGTGAGCTTTGTGGCTTAACATAATGTATAATAATATGATTAGAATAGTTTTTATGTGAAAAATATGGTCTATCGTGTCGCTATTGCGTAAAGGTCTTCGGGATGTTGTTCATGTGCCTTCAATTCTTTGGAAAATATAGGTAGTTTTGATTATATTGCCATGTATTTGTGGAGAGGGAGCGAGAAAACCGTGTATACACTTGGGTCAGGAAAGTTATCAAAAATCATTTACACTGTGCGATTGGGCATTTCTTTCTCAATGATTTCATTGCAAGAGACGTGTTGGGATCTCCTGTGCACTGGAACAGCTCTGCTGGGTGGGATGAGACGAGAATTGAGAGAGGGATCAACTCCGGTCCCGCAATTTCACATTCAGTCGTCATCTGTCCTCTGGTGGGAGCGCAAAGCTTAAAGAGAGAGAGTGGTATCAAAGTTCAGTGATTTTGGCTACAGCAGCCATTCCCAAAGCGTCGCGTTAATTTAATAATGTTCTGTGAAAATCTATAAGAATTTGTCGTGTGTAGAATCTAAAGTAATTTCGCAACTGAACCAAGAGCGTTAAATCAACTTTTTAAGATCAAAGTAATTGGGCTTTACTTAATGCATTATAATAATCAACATTATTGTGACTTAAGTGATGGAGAGAAAAAATGCGTAGAATCTTTTCAGTGTCATTTTTACTGTAATATACTGATAATGAATTTGAGAGGGAGAGACAATGAAGTGAACTGTAAAGTAGAAAAAGCGGTGAAATTTTATTGCATTTAAGCTCACATTGCATGATACACTCTTTGAACTTTGTTCACTTTTTCGATATCATTCGCTCAATGTGTTGTTGGTGGAGGAAAAATGAGCATTACGCGTTAAATCTGCTCCTCTTTGCAGACCCGAGCCTACCAGAATGCCCACGAGGAATGATGTGGAAACAGAGCAACAACTCTATGGACTACCACTGCTCCTGCACACGCTGGTGATTCGTCTCGCCGCCACGCTCCTTGGGCAGTTTCTACTGCACTTGTCGGATCGCGTGCTGTGGACGGTGGAGAATCTGACCTACTGGTCAATTCCACCCCAACGACTGGCTGAATTCGCGAATGCACCTCAAACGCCACTTGTGCGTCCGCTTTCGTGGTGGCTTTTCCTGCCGGGTCTCTTGTGCCTGCGATTTATTCGCAAAAGCTGCAGTGTTGCTCTGTGGTTTGTCGGAATTGAGCCTGTGACCCCCGTCTCGATGGTGAGATAGTGTAGCATAAAGTGTGCGAATGATGTAGAAAAAATGACTGACGCTCTTTTCAGGTCTGCTATGTGCAAGTGCAGAGAAAGAAGATCCAGTCGATAAAGCAAGCCGGAGCGAAAGTGATAAGGAAACGTCGTGAGGAATCAGCAAAGCGCCCCGGTCTTATTCGCGCCATTTGGTACAAGTTGCAGCAAATCTGCTGTCTCGAGTACATCTTCACTGAGAATGGGGAGGTTAAAGTGCTGGAACCAAAGAATCCAGAGGCCAGTGAGAGTGAGGAGAGCTCCGAGGAAGAGACTGAGCTAACTTTTGCTGAATTGTTGGAGAAGTATGCAAGCATGGAGTGTGAAGAAAATGATCCTGACTACATGGTGAGTGGATTTATTGAAAAATTAATACTTGCCTTGCCATGCATAATTCATGGAGCACTGATTTGTAAACTTTGTGTTTACTTCAACAGCCTGAGGAGGAGGAATCAAGCGAATCGTCCGAGGAGAGTGGTGGGGATGAAGGTGATATGATGTTTGGAGAAGACGATGATACACGCAAAGTGCTCAACAGATCCTTCGTGTGCGAACCACGCCAAACCTACACTCGAGGAGATACGCCGCCACTGAAGGGATTCTCCAACTCGCTCCATCCGGGCAATATTCCTCATCAGGACACAACAGGTAAGTGAGGCGATTATCATCTCATTGTTCCAATCATATCTCATTAGTGTGACTTGAATCTAGAGCCTGATCTTGTAGACGCGTTGAACGGAATAACATGGATCATTTATAATGATCTTGAGGATTTGGTACGGATTATTACTGAAAGCAACAACAATATGATGAAATCTCAAGCTGGAAGTACGTGCCATAAAATCTTACTGCCAATATGTGTCGCCTCATCGGGTCATGTCGTCATTAACACACCCTCCTGATGAATGTGTTTTAATTCCTCTTGGTTTTTTGTGTGCTGTTTTGTCGATTTCAGTGCACAACGGCACTCCTGTGGACAGGCGAAAAGGATCAGTGCAGAAGAAAAACAATCAGAAATATCGTGGTGGTGGAACTAATCGTATGAGTATGTGTCCCTCACTGTCTGTGTACCCAATTTTCTGGTCAATAACACAAATTTATGTTTAATAGATATCAAACAGAACAACTATGTTCGCAAAAATCCAGTTATTACTGTTTCTGATACAAATAATGCTGGCGGAAATTTCTTCAATACAATCGATGGTAGCGAAACTGTACATTAATCGTATTTTCCAATTTTTCAAGTATTTCACATAGAAATTGATAACTAAATTGACATTTTTCTCTCTTCCTGTCTCTAGCTGCTACAACTTCGGCGTTTCCTGGAACTGGTAGCTCACCAAAAGCCACTTCACGTGAGTATATTTAGTTGAGCATTTATAAAAGTGTTCTGCTGAATGACTTAATTTCACATATTCTTTCAGCCAAAGAAGTAAAGGCGAAAGAGTCAGACAGGAATCGCGAAATATTCTAATGATGAGTGTTCCAATGATGTAAAGTGTAAAGAGAAAAGTACTGTGTAATAAATTTCTGGCATGCTTTTGGAGATGTATTTGAGAGCTTTTCTGCTGTTGAAAGCTTCCAGACGATAGAATTTGGGAATAGCCGTTTGCGCGCGCATTTCTTATCACTATATTTTGAGAAAGAGACGAGAATGGTTGAACGATAGAGAGAACGAGAGGTCGATAAAGTGGGGAAAATGAATGAATTTCCGTTTACGTCAATTCTCCGAGAAGCAAGCAAAGTTTGCTTCAGCTCCAGAATTTGTGCAAAATCTAATTCTCGCCCTGACATTCAAAATCACATGTACTTTTTTGCCTTAGTATTAATACCACATAATTGTCTGGAGATTGTAGAAGGTCAATACAGAGTCTCGCGTGCGAAAAGGCGCGCAAATCGGTTTCTTTTTTTTTTGAGAGCACAAAGAATGATTTGTTCATTTTGTCTTCCTTGTATGAGAGAGTGTTATAACAGAGCTTTATGATTTTTTTTGACACTTACTAAAAATGCGTAAAAGTTAAAATTAAATCATCAAACACGCGGTGTTTTGCAATGGTGAGCTAATTTGTGCTCTCACACCGACACTCTCTGTGGCTTATCCCTCCCTGTAAGTCTCTCTTGGCCGTTCTGTGTGCTTCGAGAGAGGCGAGAACCACTGGCAGAGCGAGAGAAGTCAGTGTCAGAGGTAGAATCGTCGGGGAAACATGATTCTCAACTCTGTGGAATTATTTTTCACTTAGAAAGTTCATTTAGATGATAACAAATAGGAGGACTTTCCGCGAATTTCCCTTCAAACTCCTTTGTTGAACTATCAAAATGTGTCTCTCTGTCTACTATTCTGTGATTTTGCGTTAGATTTAGTGAGTTTAGTGTAGAGTGAGCTGTGTTGTGAAGCACTTGAGGTATGCTCATATTCTTTTCATCGAGTCAAATGGAAATATTGGGCCTCTTTTCTCGCTTTTTTCCCGAAATTCTCCTCAAGAGCTCTCACTCAATATGAGAATGGATGTGAATTTCACCCCCAAAAAGAAGAATGTGTAGGAAATGGTGTGGCCAGAAAGTCAATAAGCCGAGGAATTCCGTGTGTGACACATTTTTTTCCTATCTCAATATTCTCGCACAATTATATGTACATATTACGTTCCATTTTTGGGTGAGCGTTCGTGAAAATTGTGCTTCCAACGCATGTGTTTATTTTGATAGTGGTATAAGAGATCATATTGGATAAGATTAGAGCATTTTTCATGCTCTCCCCAGGCAGTAAAACCACCTTTTGCATAATTGGGCCATTTTATGAAAAAGTAATTGAAAGAAGGAGCCACTTTTCCCGCTTCTTCGACACATTCAAAGATGGTGTGCGAAAATTGCGATGAGAATGTGGTAATTGATTTACTGTTCACTTCTTTTTTTTGCCTTGTCACACGACGCTTTTCGATAGATTATCGATTTAATTCAATAACTTAATGAACAAATAACATCTAATGTACGTGAGGAGTCACTAATCCACTTTCCCGCCCGCTAAATTAAGTAATACACCTGTTATCTGTTTGTTAATGAAAAGCCGTGCTGTACATATGCCAAAGAATAATTACACCTGCCATAAGCATAAACCTTCAACCACCATAAGTATATGTATATTTGTCAAATATTGTGGCATGAAATTGTAACCCTTCTGTGAGAAATTGAGATTTAATTGTACTATTTGATGACACATTTTGGTAATTCATACAATTTATCGATGAACGGTCAAGAAAGCGAAGCTAATGTTTACCAAACAATCTTAATTTATGAACGATAACAAAAAAAAACCATTTTTGCATGATTACCACACAATCTGACCATGATTTTATTGCTCTTACTGGCTTGGGGTGTGTCATTTCACGTAAAGTTGTTGACTTTCACTCGAAAGGCTTTTCTCTTCGACTGAAAATCTATCATTGAAAATATTCTAATAATAGTCTGTGTAACTTCAACAGGTAAACTGAATAGTTACACGAAATAAATTGAAGTTCACAAAAATAAATGGCTCTATAAGCTCTATAAGATTGAGATACGCTAAGTTTATGTACTCGAGACATAAGAATAATATATGCTTGTAGGAAATATGTAAATGTAAAGTGCGAAGTAAAATTGAAGAATAATACCTGCAAATTCTACTCCATCTGCGTAGAGTCCCGTTGAGGGTATTTAGCTAATCTCACAGGCAGGATCTGGCATCGCATGTTGAATTTACGTGAAAAACTTCAGTTAATTATTAGTCACACTCTTGAAGGGGTGTGAGAATACATAGTATTCCGCATATATCTGGTTTACATGGCTGACTTACTGAAAATTGCAATTTTTTTCAACAACTCAAATCAATACGTGAACGAACTCAATTCATATGCAATTGATATTGTGGCTGATATTCCAATGACAACAAGCTCGAGCAAATTTGCTGTCTGCATATTAAAATGCAATTTATTGGCACTATCTAGGCATGATTGGGTCGATTATCCCACATTAGTGACTATTTGGTTATTGTTAGAAGTTCTGAACGAAATTAATTGCATCGCACGCACATTTTGTATGGTGAAATTGCATGTGAATTGCATGAAATCTAGAGGGAAAAATCTGAAAATTTGCGGTCCCCATGGAAGCATTTAAATGTTGTATATGACAAGAGGGAAAATCATAAATATCATCTCGTGAGGTAATATTTTCACTCCATTGATTTAGGTTTTATAACAAAGGTCATTTCATTTATAAGGTATATTAACCTTTATTACTTTTTATTTTCGGAGAAAAATGTAACTCAATTGAATTCATCTTGCCAGAGAATCAAATGAAAATATTGCTTTAGAAAAATTAAATCGATGGGTTATTAATGACTTCACAAAGACATTAGAGCAATTAAGCCATTTCAGCGTCTTTGGGTGATTTGTAAGTACCGCCCACTCGAGAATCCCGCCCTTTTCAACTTACGCGTTTCATCCTAAAACTCCTTACTTTCTTACTTTGCCATGAGCTTCTTGGAAGCTATTGTCAGAGAATATTTGGGCTCGTGAACTTTTATTGATCGTATCTCCAAAATATGCCTTTTAAAAAAGTAGAATTTTTTCCTTTATATTCAGGTATTTCATCCTTATAATTTTAATATTCTTGAATGAGATGAAAAGGAAAGTCTAATCTAAAAGTTGGTGAAACGAAACAATAGATTGGTACAGTTTCAATCAAATTATTTTGATTGTATATGTAGGTTACACGAATTTCTTTTAAGAATTTCATTTTAAGATTTAATTTACGGGAAATATCGATTCATTCTCCGACACAGTGAAGAAGAGGTCAAAAGATAGGCATATGAATGAGAGGATTATTTGAGATGTAGTCTCTCTTGCAGGGCACATTTAATGGTACTTATGAGAGGAAAGCTGTCTGTAGAAATGTATTGAATTCGGCGCTGTATGTCCTTGGATATGGCTGATTCCTCAAGTACAGGAAGTAAGCAGAAAATCCTTACAAAATAATCGCTGTTCAGCAATTTTCACGAATGTTCTCATTTTACAGAAAAGTCCCGACTTAATCAGGAAGCAAAATGTTCATACTTGGGCAAACATCTCAGCAAATCCGCCTCGGAGTTGAGTTGCCGAGACTGCAGTGTGGATTCACCATCAGGATCGCCGCACAGAACGCGCAGCATTGCGAATCCGGCGGTGTCTGGAGTACTGCAAAAAACCCATGGATTCTTTAGCACTTTGAGGAATCGTCTGGGACGGGGACGCAGCAAAGAAAGAGGTCGTCGTTCGCCCCAGGACGGAGACATTGTTGAACACCGCGAAAGCACGGATTATGCCGCGGATAACAGCTCTGACCACAGCAGTTCACACACTCCACTGACTCAGTCTCCGCGGCATCGGGCTACCACTATCGGAGAATCTCCACTCACGCGCGCGGAGGTTTCGGCATCGAAGGAGGGCATTCTCAAGGGATTCCTGGACAAGGGGAGAGACAGTGAGGCGAACACGAACAAAGAGTACAACTTGGAGTTTCTGCAGACGGATGAGGCGCAGAAGAAGAGGGAAAGCGCTCTGAGACAGCATGCATTCTTTCAGCTTCGTGTCCATCTTCACGGTGGCCGGGATCTTGTCGCAATGGACAAGAATGGTGAGTAATATTATTATATTTGCATTGATTTCGAAATGAAGGAATTGAATTGTTGTATTTTTTGTGACTCTTCAGGAACCAGTGATCCGTATGTGAAGTTCAAAGTTGGAGGCAGGCTTCTGTACAAGTCCAAGACGGTTCATCGGGAGTTGAATCCGCTGTGGGATGAGACTTTCTTAGTGCCCATAGAAGATCCGTTCCAACCTATTAATATCAAGGTGTTTGATTACGACTGGGGTCTCCAGGACGACTTTATGGGCTCAGCGCAGCTCGACTTGACTACCGTTGAGCTGTGTCGAGCGCAAGATATCGTCTTGAAGCTGGAGGATTCCTCCAGGTCTGGTCGCACGTTGGGCGAGATCAAATTAACCATCACATTGTGGCCGCGCACGCAAGAGGATAAAGAGCAGGTGAGATCGATTAGCCACACTGCCTCCTCTGCACTCTCTGAATTTGATAACAGATTAGATTGAAGTGGGTGTTGATGGAGCAGCCATAGACACCTTCAGTCAAAGTGATAAATAATTATCACAGCGATGGTAGACGCGCGATGGACACGGGAGAAACACTAAAATACATATTTTGAGCCAGGCAAGGTATTTGCGTGACTGTAGAGCATTCTAATTCGAGTTTTTGTACACCTTTACAACATTACATACATATATATTTATTTACAAGCCATATGTAAATTGAACATTCACGATTACTTAAAAATTCATAGTGTTTCCCGGCATAATGACAAAGGAGGGAAAATTTTTATGGCCCTTTCACCCTCATTCTCAGTTATGTTCGTATTAAAAAATGTTTTATGTATTTACTTTACGGTTGTTTGTGATACTCTCTATGAGTGATTGGGATTCTTTATTGATGATAACTGCAAAATTCACCACAGCATGAGTTGATCCAGAGTCGACAAATATCCAAGACTTTGACGTCGAACTTTCAATGAAAACTTTTCCCTTATCACTGATAAAACATTAATTATTCATTGTCTGTCTGTTCTATGGCATTAAAGGACAAGAGTAATTGGATGAGAGTTGAATTGTATCGCAGGTCTTCTGACGTCAGATCGACCTTTCTGTTATATGGGTATAGAAATGATTACCTGGATTGGCTCATGCTGTGTATTTGTATGAAAATATTATCTTTCTTGACGTTTTTCTAGACTATTTTATGTGAATCATCGCTATTAATATTATGCAAAATTACTAGAGCGTGACCTATATCAATTCTCCTGAAAATCAATATTATTAGTATTTTCAGCGCCATCCCAAGCTTGCCGATGCCTCGAAGAGACTCAAGTCCCAGATATGGAGCTCTGTCGTGACGATTGTCCTTGTGGAGGCGCGTGGACTTCCACCGGATCCGGAAGGGAGTTTAAGTGAACCTTATGTTAAGTTTAGGTAAGAAAATGTGATTCAATCCGGAGGGATTTTCCTTAATTCTTTCTTTTTTCTTTTTCTCTCTACAGACTAGGCAATGAGAAATACAAGAGTAAGAACTCATGGCGATCCCGATGGCTTGAGCAGTTCGATCTGCATCTGTTCGACGAGGAGCAGAACCTGGAGGTGTCTGTGTGGCGACGCAATGCCCAGCTAGGCAAGTGCACAATCGACTTACGAAGTCTTCCGCGGGAGCGCACGCACGGCATGTGGCAGGCGCTGGAAGAGTCCGCCGGTGAGGTGTTCCTCCTCCTGACAATCAGTGGCACCACCGCATCTGAGACAATAACCGATTTGACATCGTACAAGGAAGATCCGCGAGAACGTGCCACGCTGGAGAAGCGCTACCATTGGCACAGGTGCTTCCAGAATGTGCGCGATGTCGGTCACCTGACCGTGAAGATTTTTGGTGCCACGGGCCTGGCGGCAGCGGACTTGGGCGGAAAGTCAGACCCCTTCTGCGTCCTTGAGTTGATCAACGCGAGACTCCAGACACAAACAGAGTACAAAACATTAACGCCAAATTGGAATAAGATTTTCACATTGTGAGTACCTCGAAAGTTTTCTGTTATGTCCTTTTATTTGACTTTCCCGTAAAATTGCAGTAATGTTAAGGATATGACATCTGTGCTGGAGGTGACAGTCTTCGATGAGGATCGCGATCACAAAGTGGAGTTTCTCGGAAAGCTGGCCATACCGCTGCTCCGCATCCGGAATGGGGAGAAGCGCTGGTATGCACTGAAGGATAAGAAGCTTTTCACGAGGGCCAAAGGTGTCTCTCCGCAAATTCTGATGGAGTTAACTGTGGTCTGGAGTCCTCTGAGGGCGGCCATAAGAGCCCTTGAGCCGCGAGAAGAGAAGCTGGTGCAGCAAGAGGCCAAATTCAAGCGACAAATTTTCCTGCGGAACGTCTCGCGCATCAAGGAGGAGATAATGTACGTTCTGGACTGCGGTCGATGGATTCAAAGCTGCTTCGAGTGGGAGCATCCAATGAGATCATTCTTTGCTCTCATCTTTTGGATTTGTGGATGCATTTGGTTCGATGTGTCCACCATTCCTTTCATCATGCTGCTGTTCCTGCTGAAGAATTGGTTCGTCAAGTGGCTCACTGGGCCATCGTCGCACACTGTTGCCGATGAGTATGATATGACCAGTGACGATGAAGATGATGATGACAAGGAAAAAGAGGAGAAGAAGACAATTAAGGAGCGTCTTCAGGCAATTCAGGAAGTCTCGCAAACCGTGCAGAATACCATTGGGTATCTGGCGTCACTTGGAGAGAGTGTCAAGAAGTAAGGAATGCTGAACGAATACTTTCTTTGGAATTAAAAGATTAATGAGTGTTTTCTCCCTTGCAGCACTTTCAATTTTTCCGTCCCAGAATTGAGTTGGTTGGCCGCTATTCTTCTTTTTCTGGCTGCTATGGTCCTCCACTTTGTCCCCATGAGGGTGATTTTGTTGCTTTGGGGCATTATCAAATTCACCAGACGTCTAGTAAGACCACATAGTGTTCCTAACAACGAAGTTCTCGATTTGCTGTCTCGCATTCCCGATGATGATGAACTTGTGAGTGTCTTTCTTAATATATCAAAGTCCCAATTGAATTTATCACTGTCTCTTCTGTCATGCACAGATAATGTACCGCGAATTGACGACACACTCAACACCGGAAATGGCGAGGAGAGACCCTAGGAAGAAGATGAAGGCTGCTTGAATTGCGATTGTTGCTTAGGAAATTTGTGGCGGAGATTTTCAAGATGCTTGAGAAAACCACAGCAAATTTTGTGATTTTTCATTGTACCCTCCAAAAAAGACAGATTCTATTATGTTCTTTATCAGAATGCTGCAACACACAAAAACACCCTCGAAACAATCAATATCCAGATATCAAATGTTAATGAAGGAAGTCAAGAAAAAGAAATAGAAAAATTAGAATGAGAGAATATCAGTAATATTTTGTAACAATGAAATTTAGTGCTTTTCAAGAGAGTGACAAATATTTTTCGTTACACTTGTACATATAAGAGAAATTAGCTAGGTTTTATCCAAATTGAATTATTTCTATTCATTATGTGATGATGCACCAAGAAACAACATTCCTCACATTGTAAATGGGATTATCGAGTTTGGGATGGTTCAATTATGACACCATTGTTCAATTATCTTATGAAGATCAATTAACAATATTTAAATAATCTAAATGGCTTTTATGACATTTTCTTCCAAGAAAGGATGTTAATTGCAAGAATTTAACGAGTTTCTGCAAATAATTAAACTACTATCTCTCTAGATATAAGCTGATAAACTGATGAAAGCTTTTCTCTTCGAATATGACAAGATATTGCAAGATATAGGAAAAGAAATTCCCATCTGTTACAAACTTCAACAGTATAGCTAGTGAAATCAGCTTTCTTCGAAAGATTTTATAATATTATTCGCTCATCTAAATGTGAAGTAACTAAAGGCAAGGCTCTATTTATCTGCAAATGGAAGGTATTTTTGTCCCTTTACAAAATCTACCATCAGTTTTAGGCAGAATAATTATATTGTTGAATTATTCTATATTTGAGAATAATGTTCCAAATGGTGTACTTTTTATGAATGAGAAGTGTTTTACATCATATTCACCGTCATTTCGCATAATTTTAACATTTTTCATACAATTTTGACGCATTTTGTGATTATGCAGAATAATAGTAAAATAACGGAAATTATTTGAAAGGTTGCATGGTGTTTTTTTATACGACTTCGCTGCAACTTCACAGTGGTCGAATCATGCCACCCGCAAAATCCGCGTCATCTCGTCGCGTCAGTCGGCCATTGAGTTTGCTTCGGTGAAGACGTGTGAGTTTTCCAACCAGCACAATTTAATAGTTTGGTGAATTGGCCAATAAATTCAATCGGAGTGTTCAGTGATCCACAGTGAGCATCACTTGCTACCCACACTGCGACTCGCCCTTGCAAATCGCGTTGTATTTTCCTGCCAGAAAATTCTCGCGGGGCGCGCCGAAAAAATAACCACACGAAGCCATTGAAATTTCTAATTTCTCCTCGAAAATGACTTTCTACACGCTCAAGAATAGCTCAATCATGTGTTAATTAGTACCACGGCATCTTATCTGTGTCAGTTCGAACGCTGGTGTAATCGAGTTGGGGCCAGGATCCCCGTATCAGATGCCAACGAATCAAGGTTATCAGAAAGTGTCCACGGAAGCGCCCATGGCGGACTCGTCGAGAATAGCCTCAAGGAGCTCCTCGCAGCAGCTCATGCCCCCGGACACGGCCAGCGTGTCGGCGTCCCTGGAGTCTGGGGAACAGGACAAGGTCCAGTCGCCCTATCAGTACCACGGCTTGCGGTCCATCGGGAGGCGGGAGTGGTTCACGGTCTCGGTGCTGTGCTTCGTAAACCTCATCAACTACATGGACAGATTCACAATAGCCGGTAAGACTCTCAAGGCAGCGCAGAGGCAGTGAAAGCTGCCGGAGGAAGAGATTCTTGCCTGTGTTAACACTCATCACGAGGTCTTGCGTGTGCAATGTGTCCAATCAATTAACGGCACAGCGGCAACAGAGGAGGATTTTCCTGTTCTGACTCTTGAGAATTCGCGAAACACATCTTAAATTGACTGCGATAGTGCTCAAATTTCATTACCTAAGCGCATTTTTACATGAGGTATTTCAAAATACTCGCGAATATTGAGGGAAGAACGCAAGTAATGTTCAGTTTGAACTTGAAGACACGTTGCGATATAAATACATCTGTGGTGGAGTGAGATTTTTCGCCAGGAACGCACACATTAAGAGAGAAAAAACACAGAGTTTTCTACAAGTATAGGCGATAAAGAGAGGCGCCAAATGGGTGTAAAATGACGTACGGTGTTGGGAATACATTGGAAATCAGGCGATATTCACTCGTCACACTGTTGCATCATCGCAATAATTATTTTGCGATGATTGTTTACTTCTCTGGGAAGCTGAGCAACGCGCAGAAGAATGTGTGGTACGACCAGAACAGATAATTCTGATAATTAAAATAACAAACAGTATTGCGAAATCCGGCAGTTTTTGGGGTTTGGACTACTAATTGGGCTAGGGGTCGAATGGAAAAGTATTTTGTGGCATGATTATCGTTCAAGGTGGTCACAATATCATATCATTTTCATTCCTTTGCAAAATGTTGAGTCACATTATTGGTTAGAGAAAATAGAAGAGGATTGTCTAATACAGAGTACTTAAAAGGTGTGAATAGGACATTAAGATGAGTGACCGACACTTTGCCAGCGTCTTGAGGAGAATTTCAATGAATCATTCACTGTTCACGCGGGTTTTCTTGCCTCCTCTGATAAGTGTAATCATGAGACGAGGCAGCTGATGTGCGAACAACACACTGTCATCAGCTAATATGCGGCTTTTTTCAGCTATATTTAGCCTATGTCTGTGACTATATCGTATTTGGCGGTAATAGTAAAATTTGTTTACAACACTTTTACTATATCGCAGACACGGCACGGAGATTAGAGGAGGACTGACAATGCCAGATAAAACTCCTGCGACAAAAACTTCGTCTCTAGTCAATGAAAAATTGTAGAGTTAACCCATTTCTGCACGCTTGACGGTACATCATGACTTTCAAATGCTTTATATAATCTCTCAGCGAAGCTTTCTGTCTGATCCATTTGACCAAAATTGCCACCGAAATATATCTTCCGACTTCCGCACGAGGAAAAAATCAAGCTTTCACCTGTCCAATGAATTAAAATCTGGCCATACTTTGTGGGCTGAGAAATCACGTGGCGTGCAGAGAAATGCTGTGTTGACTTTGAAGTTCAGCCAGAAAAATTGCATAATAGCTTTTTTTTTACTATCTTTAATTGCCTATCGGTGCATCGAGTGGTGTTTGACCAATATAATTGCAAAATGAAATCATGTGCAACAAAATGATGTCATGCCCCAGAAATTGGTGTTTGAGAATTCAATAATAATAATAATAATAAATAATGATGGGGAAATATTGGGAGGAATATAGTTGCAAAAAAGATCTCGATATATAATGTGTGAAGAAAGAATTCCGAATCTTGAGTTGAAAAGCTCATTCCTGTGCACACGTCAGCAACACTTACATTTCTCTGCGGAGTTGTGTCGAAAGTGGTGAATTTTGCAATGATATTTTTTTCCACGTAATTTGCAAATTCTTTTGAAATTAATATAAACATAGGTATGTAATGTTGAAGAATATTGTATAACATAAATAGACATTTTAAACACAGAACAAAACTAAGGCGTTCGCTCGAGTTTTGGAAAGTAATTGCAAATCATGGTAAATTTGTCTTTTTCAGTAGTCAGTAAGTCAGGAAGCAAATTCTTATTTTAGCATATTGTGAAGTTCTGGACATTTCTTTAAATTTATACATTAAATCGATCGCTTAAAGAAGCGCGCTTTGTTGGTCATATAAAATTTCAAATTACTTTACTAATGTAATGAATGAATATTAATTGAAAGGTCAAAGCGAAATACTTTTCACCTTCTAATGTTTCTATTCTGAAAGTCTTATTAACTCTTTAGTATTTAAAGAGTGGGCAAAGGTGTGGGTCAATTGGGAAGTGTGAATATATGTTTGAGAATTTGTCTTAGCATTGATTTGTGGCAAAGCAGGGTTGAGTGGATGTTAAGCATATTTGTATTTCGTACAAGTGGCGATAAGATGTGCTTAAGAAATGCCTAGTAGTAAATATTGCATTCACGTCGCCACACAGTTTGCATGCAGACAGCAAATTCGTGTCTAGTGGAATTCTCATCTGATGATCAGAGTGTTGGAAAGCCCGAATCTTCTCATGTTCAGTGTGTCCAGTGAACCTGTCGCCCAAACGATGACACATCTGAAAATTTGTTGGATGAAGGTGTTATAAGAAAAAAACTAGTATGGAGGAGTGGATTGTAAAAATACCATATAGAAATGCGGTATTGTTTACCCACTGAAATGCCACATCAATGCATTCGATTCACACGTAGGTTGAAGACGCGATGGGGAAAATTTGCCGCCGACTGGCGAAGAAATGCGCTGTTGTATACGCGCGCTGAAATGTAGGAATCGTACGACGAAAAGCAGCCAATCGGCGGAATGGGTGTGAGACCCACAGAGTTGCATGAATAAGCGGAGTCGTGGAAGAAATAAAAAAGTAGGACGCGGTAGTGTTGGTAATGCCATTTTCAATGTATTAATTTCATTAATGTTGAACCGAAGGCAAGAGAGATGGAGAGTGAAACTCGATGACGCGCCGCAATGAGTGTGCAAAGAGAGGCGTATGGCCACCGAAAAATCGGGAAAGTCATATTTCCGAGCAAGGTTGCAAAGTGGTGGTGGTGGTGTTTAATTAAGCGCGCCTGTGGGAAACACACGATTTAATCCAATTAGATTCAATTCCTGGGCCAATCAATCGCAAATATTGGCCGGGCTTGATGAGGAGGGCGAATGCAGTAAATGGAAAGAAATTGGCTGGAAGTGATTTTATTATTACTGAATTAGTCTCACTGATAAGACACACAATCACATGGTCAAGGGGTTAAGTGAACGCGGAGAATCATTGATACAATTGAAGGGAGGTCAATAGATTTAACTGATTGCATTATTGAATTACCCATGCAATGAGCGAAGAGTGTGAAATTTTATTAATGAAATATGATTATTATGTATCATGGGAAGAATATTTCCGAACAGTTACGTGGCTTAAATGTGTGATGGTGTTGGTAGGCTCGTGAAGATTCATTGAAAGAGCTTATATTTTTAGAATATCAATGTGTTCATATAGTTTTTGATATTTCAAGGCAGCACAAGGACTTTGAGCGGTGGCATGATAATCGAGTATTGGTCGAAAGACTCGAAAGATCATTTCTAAAGCGGGTTTTTAGAGCATCTCGCCTTAGGAAATTAAAAATTGCATCGATTTTTTTGCTCTTGTGCAACTCTTGTTGTCTCTGACCGACCAATTATGGTGTTATACAAGTCTTCTGACATGAAAGAATCTAGAGAGAGAGTCAAGGCGAAATAAACGCAACGGGTTTTTCAGTGCTCGATCAGCACTAAATTCTATTTTTTAACTCTTCCAAAACAACATTAAGTGGCAAAGTGATGTTGAAGGTATGTCTCAATAAATAAGATGATGACTTCTTTCTCCAGTGCACTTTGGGCACACAAATAGACGTGAAGTGGAGGCGTGAATGGATGCCTTCAAATTAAGATTGACATGCACTCAATTTCCTCAGAATTCCTCTCAATCAAGACAAAGTAAACAGGAGTGTTTAGAGTTTAGAATAGGGGAGGAACGGTCTGAGAAAAAGACACATTATAGAAGTTATAAGAAAGGATCGCGAGGATTTCAAGAGTATCTGCACTCTTTTATTATTATCTCCTGTGTTAATCCAAATATTTTTTTAAAGACTAAACATATTCACTACTTCTTTATGACACATCTCGCGTATGCATATCAACAATGGGCGAAACAGCTGTCTGAGTGGAAATTCCCTTTCTGATCCTAATTAATGAGTTTCATATATTTTGGAATAAAAGCATTCGAGCGTGTTTTGACAGAGGGTGTCTGAAGTTTTTAGAAAAGCCAGCGAGACGCACACACACACTTCTGAGTTAAAAGGCATATTTCTCTCTTAAAACAGTTATAGAACAGCATTCATTTATTAATTACAAACTTCAGTTAATTGCATAATTTGCGAACTTCTCATGAGGTCAACTGTAATAGCGCTAAAATATCACTTTTAAAGTAGAATATTTGGTCAATTGCCGTATGGATAGGAGAGACTGAAATGATTTCTCAGTCAGAAATTACATTTTGTGGCCTGAGTGAGGGAGAATCGAAAGAGTCATTACAAGTTGGGCTGTGTGTTGATAAAAATAGATTATATGCGCGAAACACCGCACAAATTGTCGAATATAGAAAGGTCTTACATAACATTTGTTATCTGTATCCACTTTCAGGTGTACTGACGGATATACAGCAGCATTTTGACATCAGGGATGACCAGAGTGGACTCCTGCAGACGGCATTTGTGCTGTCGTACATGATATGCGCTCCTATATTTGGATATTTGGGTGATCGCTACTCGCGGCGATGGATCATGGCTTTGGGGGTGGCGCTCTGGAGTGGCACGACACTTTTAGGGTCTTTCATGAATCAGTATGGGTGGTTCCTCACATTCCGCGCACTCGTTGGCATCGGCGAGGCCAGCTATAGCACAATTGCGCCCACAATCATCTCAGATCTCTTCATCTCTGACATGAGATCGAAGATGCTGGCCTTCTTTTACTTTGCCATCCCCGTTGGATCGGGATTAGGGTTAGTGTAGCGCAAGATTGAGTGTCAATTGCCAATTTTTGCTGACGATCTGCTGTCTCTGCTTTAGGTATATCATTGGATCTGAGACTGCTAAGCTGATGGGAACGTGGCGGTGGGCTCTGAGGGTGACACCCATCTTGGGAGCTGTGGCTGTGGTGATGATCTGGCTGTGCAAGGAGCCTCAGCGTGGTCAGAGTGAGGGATCTCACAATCTCGTTGTCACTTCCTACCGTGAGGATCTGAAGGATATCGTGAAGAATCCGTCATTCATGCTCTCCACGGCGGGCTTCACGTGCGTCTCATTTGTGGCTGGAGCTCTGGCTTGGTGGGGGCCCACCTTCATGCACTTTGGCATTCAACTTCAACCGGGAAATGAAGATATCTCGCTGTCAAGGTAAGATTATTTAATCAAGTTGATAGCTAGTCTTTTTTATTTGCTAAATTGTCGTTATCAAAAGTGTGGCCTATCGATTTGGGATTGTGGCCATGATGGCGGGACTCTTTGGAGTTCCTCTGGGATCTTACTTGGCACAGCGAATACGACCACGAGATGCCACGTGTGATCCGAAGATATGTGCTGTGGGTCTCTTGATTTCAGCTCCTTTCGTCTATTTCGCACTGATTGTGGCCAAATTCAGTACAACCTGGACATTTGTTCTGGTTTTCTTTGCCATGGTGTCGCTGAATTTGTGCTGGTCGATTGTGGCTGATATCCTGCTGGTAAGAGATTGAGAGGATTGGCCAGGGGATATCAGTGAAGGAAGAAAAATGGGCTTAGAGTGTGAAATGATTGTTTGAGAATCTCACAGACTGATCAATTTTTTTCTTTTCTCTCTGTTTTATAATTGCAGTGTCTCATTTATGTTCGGTGGCGTGGCCCTTCTGTCAGGAGCCATTGGTGTTCCATTGGGATCGTATTTGTCACAAGTATTTAAGAAGCGTTATCCACGATGTGATCCCATTATTTGTGCCTTAGGATTGCTAATTAGTGTACCACTGATTGCTGCGGCGATGATTGTGGTGTCTTCCAGCACAGCGTGGGCTGTTACGCTTATATTTTTCGCTGAATTGGCTTTGAATCTTAATTGGGCAATTGTCGCAGATATACTATTGGTAAGAAAGGATATTTTACAGCATCTTTCATGCCTTCCTTTCCCACTTTCTGTTCATACATCTTCTCTCATTTCCCCTTGCAATGATTATTGTTGTTCTATAAGTGGGGGAAATGAGAGAAGTTTGTGCCTCTTTTCCTTAAAAAAAAAAAACACTCAAGTAACCTTGCTAGAATGTGGCTTTTTTCTATGTGACTGTGTGTCTCTCCTTGGAGGAGAGGCTAGTCGAATATGGGTTTGATATTTCTGTACAAAATTACTCTTTTTATTCGTCTTAATATGTAACTTTTTCCCTTGAAACATCACACACGAAGTAGCGAAAAAAAGAAGTTGTATTTTCTTCGACAATTGCCCAATGATCGGGTTCAGAAGTCGATTTGAAATTGAAAAAAAATGGTAGTGTTAAATTCACAAAAGAGAAAGCTACTTTTAGTCACTGTGTGCCATCTATTAGTTAAAAGACTTGACTTGTGTGCAGAGACTCAAACCCAACATTTCAAAAATCTTATTTCTCTCCTTCACTGATAACACTCGAGTCCACCCCTCCTAAATGCTCCTTATTTTTTGTCATTTCACCCAGTAATATACTTTCTCTCTCTCCTCGACAGTATGTTGTTATGCCTACAAGACGATCAACAGCAGAAGCTTTTCAAATACTTGTGTCTCACGCACTTGGCGACGCTGGAAGCCCGTATCTTGTGGGAGTGGTGAGTTAATGCTGTGCCTCAGCATCAGTGGCATTATCTAATTGCGCCGTGTCTCTCTTGCAGATATCTGAAGCGGTAAAATCACTGAGACGCACAGAAATTGCAACGGCGCTTCATGAGGAAATAATTGAAGCGAGTGGGAACAATAGCACAATTGCTTTTGAATCAATTGATGATTCCAAAGAAACGAAATTCGTGGCTCTTCAGTATGCCTTGTTCGCCACGTGTGTGGTGGAGGTTTTGGGGGCTGTTTTCTTCCTTATAACATCTTTCTACGTGACGAGAGATCGCGAGAGGGCAAAGAGAGCTATAGCAGGTGAGATTTGATACATCTTCTCATATTCATTTGGCATTGCTTATCATTCTCCTCATCACTCTTTTCTGCAAATTTCCTCTACAACTCTCGCAGGTTGCCAAATAGAAATGAGCGAAAGTTCATCAAATTCATGCAATTAGCAGGTGCTTTAAGTTATTTTGCTGTGCTTTTACTGTCTTTGTCTTTTGCATGCGTTTTCTGTTATGCTTCTCATCTCATTCTTTTATTGCTTTTTTTTGGCCATCATATTGATGGGTGGATATTTCTTCACGGTGACTAATTGTGCGATTCACTGTCTTTCAGATGGCTCAATTGAGGAGATTCAACATCAGGATGCCGATCGGACGAGTAGTAGTAGTGTTAATTCCTAAAATTTATTTATACTCTCATCTATTTATCAGCATTGGACAAATTGTCTAGCTTCAACGTAATTTCACGTGTAGTCAAATACACAAATAACAAGGAAAAGACTTTATTGTATAGAGAAAAGAGATCGTTTTATGCGATAAAATTAGGTATTCTTTTTAGCAATTGTGTGTCAATTGGCCTCGTTTTCAAAATTCACATTAATTCCACGAAAAAGTTCGGTCAATCTGACCATCAACAAGTAATGTTGACGAAGGCGAAAGCTTCTGCAATCAAAATCTCATAACTTCCGCTTATCCTAAGGGAGATAGTTAATCACGATCGACGATGAAGAGTCCCGTGTGAGTGTTAAGTCATCAGCTGAATGGCTTGGAGTGGAAAAGGACCAAGACAAGATAATGTCAAATGGAGAGAAGAAAAAATTCCTGCGAATGATCAAAGTAGAACTACAATAATTCTAGTCTTGTTTTACTTTGAGAAATGATAATGCTTTTGTTTATAAAAGATGGAGAGAAAGAACAATAGAGGATGATGTAATAATGATAAAGACTGCCTTATTAGATTAATTGTATAATATTAATTTTGTCTAGCATGAAAATAGGCACGATGATATCACATGATTTTTTAATAATTATCACATAGAAGACAACCAAAAACTCTCCTCGAAATTGTTTCCTTCCCTAATTGCTAAGGAGTAAAATTTAGTAATAAATTATTTTCTGTATTGAGAAAATATGAAAAATGGTAGTGGCTTAATTGCGATTGACTTGAAATTTGGAGAAAAAAAAAATTGTGTTGGCTCATTAGGTGGAAGATCAATGTCGATCGGTGTTCTCGTCGATCCTAATGGGTTAATATGGTTGACTTTAGAAATGAGAAATACTATATAGCAGAAATATGCAAGAGTGAATGTTTTATCAATCTAGTTGTTTGAGAAATTTGTAAAATACGTTAAATATAATGGATTTTTATAATAAATCTGCGTAAATCATAATTTCTGTATCTTCAGTTTTTTGTTTACACTTTCCCAAACAACTTCTCTAAATTCACGAATTACTGCATCTCGTGCTTCTTTACATTATTTATGTTTTTCAGCATGGTCCGTCTGGTCAAAACAATAGGAATTTTCCGGCCATCTTTTGAGGTTATGCGAAGTGTCATCGTGCCATAATGCTTTGTGACAGCGCGTACTATAATTTTGGGACACGTCTATAAAAGAATTTGCGGAGAGGCGAAGTTCAGTCGATTGTGAAGCGCTGCGGGAAGAAGTTGTGTCGCGTGAAACTTTGAGAGCAGAGTGCAAAAAGGAATACAAAATGGTGGACAAGATCGAGATGAGTTTGGATGATATCATCAAGTCGACGAAGGGGATGGGCCTGGGGCGTCGCCGAGGCACTGGCCGAGTGGCCACTGGCCGCCGTGGCGGCGCCACTGGTGGGGCATTCACGCCGAGACAGCGTCCCCGCGGAGGGGCCGCTGGTGGCGTGCGTGGCGTCCGGAAGGGACGCATCACAGTTGGTGTTTCACGTGCAAACGGACGATTCCCGAGGGTAAGCACACTGGAGTCCGCACGTCGGTGGCGAGCTGTCGATTTGACTGGAATCTCTGGTGGTCCGGAGGGTGGCTGAAAACTTCACAGGACAATATTTTGTGCGTGTTGCATTTTTTGCCATTGTGCTGTGCTTCACAGGTTTACACACGAGTTTCTTCCCTTGTAAAGCCATATTTTAGGGGCATATCACGGCAAATGTATGGTAGACGAAGTCCTTGGTTTCTCTGTGCCTCTTTTCATGCCTCTGACGATGCCCAAATATGCCTGACGAGACGGAAAAGTGCCACGAAAGTGAGAAGTGTGCAGCGCACAAGGGCATTTCTTGCCACTTCCGGAGACATATTGTGTCGAAATAATCTCACAAATCCCCTCCTCGCGATATTTGCCCTGGGCAGCAAGCGATAACCTTTGGGTTGACCCCACGGACGACCACCTGAGCATCCTCGAAATTGTAACAGCCACTCTGTCATCATCTTTTTCATCCGGGACGAATGAAGAGACAATGAGAGAGACACCACGAGCAGGAGCTCACATTTTTTGAGAGAGAGAAAGAGAGGGAGAAAATTGACAGTGGCAGCCACAAAATTCGACCATCTTCTACCTTATCTTAGGGCGATGTTAACAGCGCTTGGAAGCACGATATGTTCGAGGGAGGAAAGAGGAAATTGCTCAGGAGCGCGGGCAATGCAACGGCAAAACTTCTGGTCGGCAACTTGGATTATGGCGTCTCCGAATCGGATATCAATGAGTTATTCGCGGACTTTGGACCACTGAAGAGTGCATCTGTTCACTATGATCGCTCCGGACGATCACTTGGTAAGTTCCCTGTGTGGCTTTTCCTGTGTCTGTCACCGAGAGATTGACGGCGTTTCTTCTGCTTTCAGGCACAGCGGATGTCGTCTTCGAGAGGCGTGGGGACGCAGTGAAGGCCATGAAGCAGTACAACGGAGTTCCACTCGATGGGCGACCCATGAACATCCAGCTGGCCACATCTGATGTACCCACAGTGTCGCCCGCGGCGAACAGAGCTCCAAGATTTCCCGCAGGACCGCGTGCAGCTCCCCAAAGGCCTCAGAGTGAGTAATTTAAATCTTGTCGCTTTTTGAGCACCTCCTAAATGCCCTTCAGATTAGTTTTCAACGGTATTTAAACGATACTCATTAAATGGTATTCATTTCGTACTCATTCATGCCCAATTAAACCATTTGTAGGTGAACTTTCTCTCTTAATTGCCAATTTAGCAAGCCTCAACTCATGTCGTGTTTCTGTTGTCTTACAGGGAGAAATGTGGGCAACAACTCTGGCGGCGGAGGCCCTCGTCGAGGTGGCGGACGCACTGCCCGGCCGCCGGCACCAACAGCTGAGCAACTCGATGCAGAGCTGGACGCCTATGTTAAGGACATGAAGTAATCACACCACAACTCAAAGGATTTATTATGAAGAAGATTTAGACTAATCCAAGAATATTTGTAATATTATAAGATATGATTTTCTTTGTCAGGACTGATGTTGTAATTTCAGTCTCAGAATTCATACAGATTTTCTATTATGCTGAAAATACAAGTTCAAATGGAGTTGTAGCACTTATCTAGACTCATTTTCAAATGTGCGAATATTTGTATTTTGAATTTGCAAGTAGGGTGAAAACAAAATGTGTATATTCACGATGAGATGAATTTGAGGGAGGAGAAAAAAAATATAAGAATGAGATTGAGAATTGTATCTTATTTCTTTATTTCTCTATTTGTCAACTTTATGTACAAATTCCATTTGTCCTACTCGCCTTCGGCTGATCTTCGGGAGTTCTTTTCACGAATATTTACACGCCTTGTCGTTCAGGAAGCTCCGTAGGCTTGAGTTATTAGTTGGTTAAGGTTGGTAGAGGAATGCACTGACCTCCAGGACTATTTGCTCGCTTGAGTATTGACGCACCGCCCTAGTTCTTGGGCTCCTTGTTGTAGTCCACGTACACCCGCACCACCTCGCCCGAGTACTTTCTCTGGGATGGCATGAAGTAGAAGTCCGGCGTGTCGACGCCACTGGACTGCGCCTGGTATTGCGGCTGCCGGGCGCGCCTGTCCTGAGTGTAGTAGCCCGCGGCGAGGTGCTGCTGCTGCTGGATAGCCGTCCGCGGCAGCGAGTACGTGCGGTCGTAATGACTGGCCCTCGGGATATGTTCCCTGTCTCTCTCGTATCCACGTCCGGCGTCCACGACGTCGCGGCCGTTTGGATACCTGCCGAAGATGGAATAGGAGGTCAGCAAGAGTTGCCATATTATATTACAAAAGAAAAGAAGAGAAACAGGTTTCTCACCGTGATTCATTTCCTCCTCCGCCGTTCTGATGCCTCGAATTGGTCCCATTTCTGCCACTGTCGTAATACTGCGTCTTGCTTGGCGAATGCGACATGGGCAGTGTCTGCTGACTGCTCGACGTCCTGCTCCTGGTCTTTCCGTTCTTCTCCTCCGTCTCGCCAAATGCATCGAAGGCATAATTGGTATTCGACGAGTAATCCTTCCATGCCGAATTGGGAATCAATTGATCCTGCAACGAGTCAATGGCAAAGCATACAAGACACCAAATTAATCACCAACAAAAATCCCTTCACCCTTTCTCAATCTCTCTTCCACTCACTTCAAACAACAATATAATCAAACCCAATCACTACAACTCAAGTTGAGAGAACAAATGTATAAAAAAAACCAAATCAAATTGAAAAGGAAAGAATTTTTTTATGTGAGATAGGAAAGGAAAACAAACACAAAACAACAACAAAAAAGTCAAACATTCTTGTTAATAAGTGGTAGTAATTTAGAAAATTACCAAGTTTCTAAAATCTGAGGCTGTGTCTTTCCGGATGGTGGTCCGGATCGGTCAGAAGAAAACGCCCATGTTTGGCAAATACCCACTAAAAAGTCTGGCTCTCCTCTAATCAAACACTTGTTCACACTCTAGCATCAACTTAACAAATAAAATGGTAACTGGCGTATTACATAGTAGAGATAATACTCACTTTTTATATAATTCAACAAGGACAATTTACACATCAATACAATTATTATACAATCAGAGTAGAAAAAAAACAGTAGATATCCTACTGACTACAACATAAGCTACATCTACATGTGATCTCTAAGACATATTCTTGTTGCTCAAGTAACATGTTTGCGTTGGTCAGTCACAAGTGGTTATTTATTGGTCGAAGAGAAGTGTGAAGAGGAAGTCTGTCTTTAGCATTCTAGCGTCTCTTGTCTTCACTACTCTGTTCATCCTAACATCATGTTCATATTACAAACTGCTCGTCGTCGGATGGTACATCCTGTACTCCACAGGGATCGCATAAATAAGCTAGAAAATGTGTATGATTCTTGCGTGACTACTCAAGTACATTTATCCATTCATGTTATATCACATTGGGAAGTGTTAAGAGACACACCCAAGAGCCAATTTTTGGATGTCTTGAGGAGGATACATAGGTGTCTCACCACCTACAACACTATCAACTCACCTTCTGACTGTGCTTCTTCCTCGATGTCTTGTAGATTGTGCAAGTCACCTGCAGCAGGGCGACAATGATGAGCGCCAGGATGCAGCCCAGCACTGTGTACAGCCTGGTCTCCGACAGCTGGAAGAAGGATGAGCCCTTCTCCTCTTCGCGATTGGTTATATCTGTAAACATACGAAGATGTCAGTCATCTAATCGTCTTTCGAATGTCACAATATCACTGCAGGATTACATTCAACAGGCTCAAAGTCCAGATAATTGGGATCCACAGACAGTGATCCCACTTTTCCCGTCGTCACACTATCAAGGAGTGCTCTCTTCACCAGTTTTCCCTCCTTCATCTCCTCCTCAGACTCAGAATCATCCAAGAAATTACTCCTGAGCTCCAGATTTCTGCCCTTCTCATAAGCTGCCTTATCAAACAGGACGTTCATCTTTGCCACGACACTGTCACTCGTCCTGAAAGCAATAAATCTCTCATTAATCTCCCGAGGTGCAAAGTAAATATCCAGGAAAATACCTCTCAAACTCCTTCACGTCCGTCATGTAGTATCCAGGAATGTTCTGCAGAACTCCACTGAATGAGTCCTTAATCGTATTTGCCAGCGTATCAAATTCTGGGCTTCCCTTTGGCGGTGTCTCGAACGATTCCGCGAGATTCTGCAGCTTCACGCCCACAGCATAAACCAAACGATCCGGAGGACTTGTCGGTGGCACATTGTAAAGGGCTTCCAACTCCTTTCCACACGACTTAATGCACACCTTCGTGTCCGTGACGACAGGCGTCTGCTCATGACGTCGTATCTTCTTGTTCACCGCATTGAAACTCCCGCCCACGATAGGGAACATGAGATACAGACAGTGATCATCGGTGAAGGACAAATCATGGGCATCATCGCTGATGCGCTTCCTTGTAAACTCCAGAATGGTTACGCCATTCTCAATCCTTCCAGAGGTGTTGTAGATGTCCTGTCGATATGGCAATGAGTCCAGGATTGGGCTCTGTTTCCCCACAATCCACATATCCATGAGGAATGGTCTTCCCGTCTTATCCACCCATCCAATGATCGCGTCCGTCTGCGGCATCTTATCATCCTCACTGAAGCCCACACCAGTCCACGTGTCTGTGTGACTCGTTTCGATGTGGAATCTCATCTCATCGCCCCTGCCGACAGTCTCCCACCTGGCATAGTACTCACAGCTGTGATTCTGCGGGGAGCAATTGTGAGGATAACGCCAGTGACCCCGACAATCGTTATCTAACAACTGCGAGGATTTATCCACAGACTTCTCCTTCTTGGGCACTTCCAGGAAATTGATAGACGCCAATCCTCGTTGCATCTTTCCGCCGTGGTACTTCAATTCATCGGGTTTGTAAAAGTCAGGCACAGACGCCATCTCAGTCTCCAGACCAGACAGCGGACTGTGAACGTATCGTCCAGGCTCCTGACCTCTCGCCCAGATCACACTCATCAGATCATCCACAATCGTGTGATCGGATGGCTCATTGGCCGCCAATTTCCTCCTGAAAGCGATTGTCGTAACGCCGTCCTGTTCGAATCCTGTAGCGGCGGTTAGATCGAACTTCCCACCCCAAAAGCTGTCCAGGCGAGGAGTTGAGCGATCTCTAGTGTAGTAGTCAAGGACTCTAGAGGCATTTCCACGTGCACTTCCAATGATAATATCCGTGCAGTCCATGCCCTTAAAGTCCTGGGTAGGAGTCCACTTATCCAGCTTGGGTTTCCCTATTACAAGGACAGTAGACAACGTGTTAGAATACAAGAAAATTCATTTTTGCGGGTCGATTCATAAGATTTTTATGCAATTAAAGCATATTTGCGAATCGGAATTTTAAAAAATTATGCTTTACTCTGTTTGTCAAAAACTAAGATCCAAGAGGCGGTTTTCCAGTTTCGTCCATCTCAATTTTACAAACTGTAAAAATAAGTATATGGACGAATCCTTTGAACCAGATTACTACTCTACTCTTTTTTCTTTAACTGCCCGCAAGGTTTTATTTAATTTTACTTTCACCGAAAGCTTCTAATTGCCACTTATGAACCGACCAAATACACACCCTGTCATGAATTTCATTATGTACAATATGATAGTTTGGTTTAGTGTGAATGTGAGTATGATTTTTGTACATTTACATATCTCTACCTTTATCCTTTGGTTTTCCACCACCGGCTGCGCCAACGCTAGGAACTACCTTTGCCGCGGAGCTGGGTTCTACCGCTGGGCTTGGTTCTGAGGCAGAACTAGGTTCCCCAGATGGGCTAGGTTCCGAGGCGGAGTTAGGCTCCCCAGCTGGGCTAGGTTCCACGACTGGCTTAGGCTCGGCAGCGGAACTTGGCTCCCCTTCTGGACTAGGTTCCACGGCTGGTTTAGGTTCCGCGGCCGAGCTTGGCTCCCCTTCTGGGCTAGGTTCTACGGCTGGCTTAGGTTCCGCAGCGGAACTTGGTTCTCCCGTTGGGCTAGGTTCTACGGCTGGTTTAGGCTCCGCGGCGGAGCTAGGCTCCACGGTTGGGTTAGGTTCCGCGGTGGAGCTTGGTTCTGACGAAGTCTCGGGTTCTGCTGAGCTTTCTCCTTCAGGTTCTGGGGTTGATGTCCCTTTATTTGGTGCAATTATTAAGATTATTTGTGCTAGGCTACCGTTCATAATGTGTTACAGTGGAAATTACATATCTACAAACCACTATAGAATTTATCCCAGATAAGATTGGGTGTGTGGAGTATTTTGTACAGTTCTGCTATTATCTTGCTTTATACTACAACAACAATTGGTAAACCTACCTGGCTCAGGTTCTGGATTTGCTGTTGCCCTCTTTCGTCTGCCCGACTTTGAACTAACGCGATAGGACACACTGGTGGACAAGGTGATACCCTCCTTATTGGTTGTTTCATCATTCGCCACCACTCGCTTAGATTTTGACGACACCACTGAAGGAGTTTTGATTTCTGGCTCTGGTTCACTCTCACTCTTGGGTTCTGGTTCACTCTCGCTCTTGGGCTCCGGTTCGCTCTCGCTCTTAGGCTCTGGTTCGCTCTCACTCTTCGGCTCTGGCTCACTCTCACTCTTGGGCTCCGGTTCACTCTCGCTCTTGGGCTCTGGCTCACTCTCGCTCTTGGGCTCTGGTTCACTCTCGCTCCTAGGCTCTGCCTCAAATTTGTCTCCAATTTTCGGGAAATTGCGGCATTCAGCTGTCAGATCTCGTGGTCTCCATCCTAGTCCCACCCAGGATGTGCCATTAACTTTGATGATCACCTCGAGCTCCTTTTGCTCCTTCAGCACACGCCAATGTATGCGGTAATCCTTAGACAATTCTTTCGTCTGGTACAAAGAATAATCAAGATCCAGCACTTTTATCGGAGACTCTGCAGAGAATAAAGGATTTGTAAGTGAAAATAATATAGAATGCTTTTAAGAAACTCACTCTTATTGCATCCCGGACCGAACCATCCAAAATTGCAGTAACACTGCTTCCTGGGCAACGATGTTCCTTCCAAATCTATGCACTTGCCCTGATTTCCACAGTCCTGATCCACAAGACATTCATCCTTGTATTGACATCGGTCGCCATAGTAGAACTTATCGCACTTGCACCTGCCAGGGAAGTGCTTGCCATGGCCAGAGCACGTCTCCTTGAAGTCCTTTCGCGGCACGATGTCCACATCTGCACACGACCAGAAGCGATACCAATCCACCCACTCATTCGCCTGTCTCAGTAGCCTTATTGAGCAGTTCTGGCAAACATAATCCGATGGCAGGCGCACCTGGAATTGCTGAATTGTGGCATCCGTCGAGACAAACTTCGATCCATTCACCGATGGCGTCAGATCCAGAACAGGTCTCTCCAGTTCATCAAGCAATTGAATTTGAAATCCACCCTAGAATGATGATATAATGTATCAATGTTCAAATAATACCGCAATATCAATAGTGTTGATTGTAGATAAAAGTATTTGCTCTTCAGAAACTTTTTTAATTTCGTTGCACTGATGCAATATAAGATGCGAGAGAGTATTTAAGGGGTAGCACAATGCTCGACTTTTTCATTTCAGTTGATAGACTTTCATAAAATAGTGCCTGACAATAAGGAAACATGATTGTCGGATTTTTACTTCTCCTGGCCACTGTCGGCACTTTATCTGTGAGCTCAAGGGCAGATGAAGCCGCGTTCTGTGTTCAGTGTGATCAGAAAAACCTCGAAAAATGCTCAGTGAACACTGCAACACTGCCAGCAACGGCCTGTTCAAAGGGCGTATCGAAGTGCTTCACAAAATTGGATGATTACGGCCTGACTTCACGTGGTTGTCTCAATGATCTGACCATTGCTGATCAGATGCTGTGCGATTCCGAGTACAGTGAAAATTGTGTCGTTTGCAATGAGAATGGGTGCAATAGAGACATTTTACCAGACACCAGACTCAAATGCCATGAGTGTATATCTACCAGAGATCCTTCTTGCGCTTATGGAAAATCGCCACGAACTGCCACATACTGTGCAACTCACGATCCGGACAATGTTTGCCTCACGCTTATTAAGAGTAATGAAAGAGATTTTACAGGCTAGGCAATGGATGATTTATCGTGAATTTCTTGCAGGTGAAAATCACATTCAGAGACTCTGTTCGAGGATACCTGCAGCCCACTGTACGAGTAACGTCATCTCCTGCAGCAAGTGCATCACAAATGGATGCAACAGTGAGGCAGTTTCAGTCACTCACTTGAAGCAGTTGGAGCAGTGTCCCTCAATCCCGCCACCCCAGCCATCGCCGGAAACTTCCACACCCACAACGACCACTTCTGCAAGACCTTCTGTCGTGCCAACCCCAACAACATCTAAGCCGGCCAATGGTGCAGCTAACATCCTCCCAGGATCACTCATGGCAATTAGTTTGATAGCAGTGTTTCATGCTGTGCACTGAATTTACAACTCCTCAAGTGTTTGCTCGTGATACGCGAAATACTTCTTGATATCTTATCAATGATTGTAAACAGTGGGGATTTGAAAATAAATTGATTTGCGCACTGCAGACTTACCCGATGAGGATATGCCAAGTGCCATGTGACATTGAACGTTGAGCCTGATAGCAGAGATGTCCTCAGATCACCTGCAATAAAAACAACAATTTTAATCAAAATTATAGCATCGCTATTGAGGTGACTCATAAACAGGGTCATTTGAGACACGCGACGCGACAGCCGCACTGAATTGACGGGGTGCGTAGAAATTATTTGCTTATCTATCATTATTACTGTAATTATCCCATTTTACCCATGATGATTGACTAAATGACCAAATCTCTCCCTCGGACCTCTTAATAGCCTATCATCAGCTACTCAGTGTTGTCTCAAATTCATCCAATATACACTAAGATAAATGTACAAAACAGGTACATAAAACGACTTTCACTCTTCTCGTGAAACTGCAAACTCTACATCGAATGCCCAACACTTCTTTGCATTTGGTATTTAGCCACTTCGCCTCTCAGTTCACAACACACGTAATGTTGTGCCTCAACAGGTTGACTCTATTTTTTCTGCTTTACATAATTGACTTCTCTTTGGGTACATACATAAATGGCTCATTCGATCCATTTTACAATACTATTTTGATCATCGACTGAATTTCCCACCTCTTAAATCTTTGAATAACAGTGTTTGGTGGGCAAAGTTGAGGAAAATGATCTTCTGCCTTGAGGTGAATTTTTCGTCTTTGTCTAAATAGGTGCGGCGATCCGTAAATTTACAATTATATTACCATCCCATTTCTCTGAGGGCGCCTCAACACTCTTTTCTGTTACTACCATCATGCAAGGTGGTTTTTAATGCCAAAAGAAGAAGAGGAAAAAAATCCATACTAAAATTAAAGCTATTTTCTCTCCAATTTCACATATGAAATCCCATTTTCCATGATCGAATTGTTACAAAAGGCGTACAAGAGCACACATTTGCTCGCATTGAATGGCAATTATGGTCGCATATCTTAAACTCTATGGATTTATTGCGTTTGTCTCAAATGTGTGTATGCGGATTATTGACATATTTTCGACCCACTCAGGCAGCGACACGCCGCAGAATAGCGATAGACAGTTTGTGGGGTTGTGTGTTTGGAAATCTTATTAGACTGCGCGCTAGGCTGTGTGAAAGAATCATCGTCCCACCTCCACCCGCCGTCAATATTCTTTCATTCAACCTTGTGTATGAATTTTTTCTCCACTAACTCGTCCGTCCTCGACTGATCCATATAGACTTGCTACATATGCATAGTTTAGTTATGTAACGAAGGTGGGCACAATAAAATACACAAATTCCATTTCATTTTCCTCTGCATCACCAAAGAAATTTCTCAATTTATATCCAATAGTAATATTGCTAATAGGTTTTACACACACACAAAACAAGTCACAAGTGAGGCTCTAATTTGGCGACACTCAATCTTCAAATAATGATTTTCCTTTACAATCCATACAAAATGCAAACTCTAGCATTCACAGAGTTACACAATATATTCTCAATCATCACCAATCACAATTTTATCGTTTGCTTAACCCTGTTCAGACCCTTGAAATATATTTTCTGGTAGCTTTTTGGTAAGCTTTTTTGGCCCCGTTGAGGGTTAATCACTTAGCAGCTTCTGTTTTCAGTAATATTGTACATAAAATTCCTCAGTGTCTTTCGCATTAGTATTCCACGAGTGTTTCCCTCTTGCCAGACGCGATTGAGCACTGATTGGTTTGCCACAGGAAATCTAATGAATGAAACTAATTCGTATTCAATTGACACTTTCTCAAGAAATTGCCCAAAATTTCTCTTTGGCTCTTTTCCGCGCACAGGAAAAATACCATTGCCATATCTGCCGTTGAAACAACATCGCGAGAAAACAATGGACATCGCAAACATTGCAAACTTTATCAAACACTTGCTCAGCTCAAATCTCACGGGGAAAAGCTGGAAAATGATTCACTTCGTTGGCTATGTGGAGGATGTTGCATTGCATTGAGAATTGGTGAAAAATATTCCTTTGTTGCTCTGACGCTATCTTATGAATATATTCCACAGACAAGACGGAAAAATAGTGTAGATCAGCATCAAGCATTGGCTTATATCCTCTTACTGATGCACATGCAATCTTAAGGACAACACTGTGATGTCTTGTGAATTGATTACTGAGATTGGTGTGATGCTTGGAAGCCGTGAAGAAGCATTGCGACACATCTAACGAGTTTGATGGTTGAAGAAAAGAAGACACCTAATGTGGGAACGTCATGGAATATAATTTCGCTAATATCAGTATTTTAGGCACAACATGAAACACATAATTTACCACAGTGACGCTTTAAAGTCTTTTAATATCACAATTAAAGCTTACGAGTCTGTTTACAGCCCATACACCTTGTCACATGGTGAATATTTAGTCGAGGCATGAAATAATTAAGTAAACATTGCACTTCTTCAGCCGCACCATTACTAATTGGTCACACACAGCATCAAGAGAGCGCAGGGAATTACTGCAATTATTATGTCACACCGTCGCAACATTATATTTCCCTATTGTTTCAAGACATTTTTCCCCGCAAGTCGTCGGCAAAATGCTTATATATATATATGAATTGAAATTCACAGAGACTCTTAATGTGGAGGAAAGCATAATTTTCACCTGAGAAGTGAAATAAATTTTTGCGAAAAAAGCCATTTAATTTAATTAGATGCTGTGCAATGGATTTTATAAGAATAAAAAAAAATCATTGAGAAATGCGCGCCTCTCCCTCTTTATGCAGATAACTTTTCTGGATGGTATGCACAACATGCGAAGGTGTGGCATCTTCCATCCCAAAAGCAATCTTCCAGCAACTCTTGCAACCATCATCACGATTCGCCTCATCGATAGGGTACACCTATACATGCGGCTGGAATTTTACTTTCTATGCTACACCTTGCGAAATCCCCGATAAATTCTGACTTCCGAAAGTGTCACGCGTTCCACTATTTTCACAAAAATATCCATAAGACTTTTCTTCGCCTTCCATAACTCTCTTCACCTTGCAAGTGAAAATAACCCGAATTATTTGTGTCACTGAATTACGTCCGATATTTAATTTTGTATTTGCTTGTTTGGTATTGAAGAGAAATTCAATGTCATACTTTTTACCCAGCTCGCAAGCATTAGAAAGTTTATTGAACATGTGCCGTACGCATCATATTTCTTAATTTTTTTTTCTTTCTCTCTCACCAGTGAAAATTAGAAGAGTAATTCACCAATTAATTCTCCCAAGATTGAAATTGCAGTTTATGCAACAAAATTGAGTGAAGGTGGTTAAATATAAATAGAATTGAATGGGCTTCATTTAGTTGAACGGCTCTCATTTCCCACGCATTTTCCGTGAATTTTTCTCATTTTGTTCAAATCAACATCGAAAGAATTTCACTATAAACTCCCTGCATTTGAGCACAGGTACATATGTACATATATTGGAGGCATATTCAAACTTCTTAACCTCATGCAGAGAGGCTTGAATGTATGGAATGCCACTCTACAACATTTAATACGCCTGAAAAACAACTTTTCGTCTCTTTCATTTGCTCCGTTCTTACACTTAGGGACCTCGTTGATAATTTCGTAGATATATAAGCATGGCTCATACATGTTTTTTATGCAATACCTTAATCACAAATGTCTTTAGCATCGTCCGCGCATTGAGTGGCAAAAAAATTATTGCACACACATCAATAATTCCACAAACGCTTTTGAATTGCAATATTTTGTGTACACATCGAGCGAGGAGACGAGCAAAGAGGGGAAGAAATATCTCATAGAAATTCCTGAGATGCTGTTTGGTATTAAAAAACCGTCTCTTTCACTAAATGTCGAACACCTGTGTTGCCTGATCGCAACGCCCCTTCCATTCCGACTATGTTCAGCATATTGTCAATAATAGATGATAGATTACGTAAGCGCTTAATATTAGCGGCTCTCACGGACTTGGCGACTCACCTTTTGGCATTCCGCAGGGTCCCTTCGTCCGTGAGTTGTCCAAGAAGTCCAAATCATACTTCCTCGCTGGCGGGAATGTCAGAGCCACATGTCCATTCACTGGCCTATCCAACAGCAGTAGCAGCAGAAATGCATTCAGCAATTTCCAAACATTGTTCAATATAGATTTCGATGCTAAATTAATCGCCATTTCAGCTCCTCACTCGCACACGTTAGAAGCACAGTTGAGTTAAAGCTTGTCGGCTTACATGAGGATGAACCACAACACAACACTCTCTGTGCTCTTCCTTACACACTTCACCACGAGTTATTGGAGAAAAAATGTGCAATAAATAACACTTGCAAGTGCACAATTTAAATTAATGCCGTGAAAGTCGATAATTTTTTCGTTAAAACACTTCTCCTATTGCCACATGATTCAACACTTCCCCGCAGCACTGAATTTTTCCATCATTTTCACCAATCAAATACCACCGATGCTCAATCCATCCGTTCAGCCGTTTTCTGGCAAAACTGCAATGAAAATTCCTTCACGATGGCCTCTGTTTCATAATGCCTCGAAACAGGTACTGTGGATTTTCACTTGTCCCCCAAACTGGAACCTCAAGTTTACAACCTGCAAAAGAGAGACAATCAAAAATGTATCAGTTGTTTGCCATCTGCAATCTCTGGTGTATTTTATTTATGGGGAAGAAAGCTGAGAAAATGAACCATGAATTTCTAACATTTTTTCTCTAAATACACATAGAAAAATATATGTGGCAAGTCAGCAAATCAATCGCTTCCCCAATTGTGCAATCGAGAGAAAAACTCGGGGAGGAAGAATGTGAAATGGGAAGCACACGAAACGTGTCTATAAAAAGCGCGAATTAAAGTTTTTGAGAAAATCAATTTGATCATAAATTGGAACAGTGAATATTAAAACACCTTTCCGATTACATAAAAAAATTACTGTGTGGCTTTGGGTCTTTTCGTGTGAAATTCCATGGCACACACAGTTCCTACTTTCCATGCGTCCATTCCTGATATCATGATAATTTCTTTCTGCAATAGAACATCTCGGCGATGTTGTGTAAACTGAGGAGGTGAAAATTGTTTGGTGTGTATGTTTGCATTTTACAAAAATTGGGATGAAGAAAAAAGCCAGTGAAGAATTTCATCGGAGAGAAAGTTAACCAATAAGTCGGCTCGCGGAGAAATGCAGAGACACAGACACTTTTCAATGTGGACTTTACCCAAAAACTCATCCACTGATTTACCCTGAATCACCTGTAATTGTAATAATGATTTTCTTGTCTCTTTCTCTCTCCTTGACGAGAAACTTATGCAATCGCTATGCCAATAAATTAAGTTCTGCATTGCCTTTTTGCATTCAACTATTGGAAAGTTTTTTTTTTCATATTTTACTTTTTCGAAAAAAGTGCATCGCATGATGTACCGTAGAACAATTATGATAATAAGTAGGTACTTAGGTAAACTGTAAAGCAGTTATTAAAATAAAGAGAATCGTGCCTTTGGACTTGTTAAACTGTATCAATTGCGACATAAGCAAAGGAGAGTCAATCATAATATCTAACCAGCGGAGCTCTTTTTTTGCCCTCCCATCGAGCAATAGAACGTAATAGCAGAGAATTCTAGGGGAGTTTTACAGTGTCATCATTAGCTAGTGGCTTCTTCGCTGTACACAACTATACTTTGCCTATGAGTTCATCACGGAATCTATCTAAAAACAGAACTCACGAAACAGTGGAAGATGAGGCAAAAAAGATCTGCCATTTACAAAACGATGCTGAAAAAGTGCTACTTCTCACCTTCTAAATATATTCTATACACTGTTTAATTCAACCAAATAATGTCTGCGAGCTTCACTGGGTGGAATTTTAAAACATTTTCACTTAGATACACAATGCAGCGCACTTGAGATTTCCCAATATTTCGCCCTCGGAATCCGCCAATTGTCCGTCAATTTGCAGTAACATCCAATAAAGCACTGCGACGTCTAACAAAGTGATAAATGTCGAAGGAGGAATGCCACTTTTTCCTCCCAAAAGGTGAGGAGAGCTCTGAGAAAAAGAGAAATCACGTCAGAATCTTTACACTGCGATTGTCTCTATGTGACTGAAATGGTTTAATAAGTTACCACAGAGCTGCTGTGAGGCTCTGGAATTTCTTCACGGTGAGCGCAAATGTGTGCGAGAGAAGAAAGATGGAGGGAAATCAAACGAGTATTGGGAGCCACTCCAACACACACTGACTCTCTTCAAAATCACGATGGGCAACTTGGAGTCTCTTTCCTCGCCTTCCCCACCAAATCACATCGAAAATTCAATAGAATAAGATATACTCGGCGTGCACCATACAGAAAATTGTATTTCAGACTCATTCACGTTCAACCACAAGTGCATGCACTCCAAATTAAAGCATATCAAACACCAAGAAGCACGTACAAAACTTGCTAATCTATTTCACATGTGACTTTTTTCCACAGCATGACGACAAAATATTTTGCATTCACTCTCGCGACTCATCTCGCATTGTCACAGAAACAATAAATTGAGTCATGGCCATTCAATGCACACAATTGTACAGCGAGAAGGTGTTACGGCTCAACAAAAGACTTCAACGCCCTTAAACAACAAGCCCACTCTCCAGAAGATTTTCATTATTATATTCCTCTGATGAGTCTTTGATCGATTTTCTATACAACACCAATTTCATACTCCCCATTTATTATACACAAGTTACCCACATTACTGGAGCCAATTACTGGCGAAGAGGAGCATAGAAGGACACTCGACCTAGTTTCCCCCTCAATCATTCCGCAAATAGAGCAACAGGCAAACGTTAATTCATTATTAATATTCTCGTCCGTGCAGCTGTTTAGTTCTCATGGTCTTTCCACAAAATATAATTTTAGCAATGCAAAATATATGGGTGTGCATTTAATATGATTATAGTAATAAAGGAGGCAAATTGCACACTTCTCTCCCGATCATTCTGACTGGAGAAGTCAGCTTATAAAACCTCAGAAACCGCCAACTTCACATTTCACTGTTGGTTAGGATTTTTGTGAATCACTATGATATCGACAGAAGAAAATCCCTTCGTGGCATTTAGCATCAAATGCTGGAAATTCATGGGATTTCTCTTTGCCTCAAAGTATCCTGTTCAGAGATATTTCTTCATGTTCATCAATATTGTTCTCAACATCTTTCAATTTTCTTACATACTCACCGAAAAACAAGTGGACAAGGTTATTCTGCACGGATATTTCACAGTCCTCTACTTCAACTCCATCGTAAGTACAGCAAGATATGACTCTTCTTTGCCAGATTTATGTGATTTGTGTTTTTGAAGATTCGCGTGTTCGTGGTGTTGAAAAAGCAAAAGGACTTTGAGAATCTAATGCATAAACTAGCAAGATTGTACAACACAATTGAATCTGTTGGAGACGATTATATGGTGACAACTGTTAGAGAAATGGGTGTCAAAGCTCACAAGTTCTCAATTCTAAATCACTGCTTGGCTTTAACCACTGGAACGTCTTTTCTCATTTATCCTATATTCACTGGAATGCAAGGTAAAGATCTTATTTTCTAGAAATTGTGACACTAAAATTATTAACATGTCAAATAATTCTTTAGATTTACCTTACGGAATTTACATTCCTGGATTAAATATCACTGACAGATTCACCTACAAAGTTCTCTATATTTATGAGATCTTCGTCACGCCTCCTGGAGCAAGTCTCTACATTCCCTTCTCCAATCTCTTCACCTCTTTCATCCTCTTCTCCATTGTCCTGATCAGGATCCTAAGACACAAAATAAACCTACTGAAGACCATTGTCCATCAAGATAGCAAACTTATGGAGAAAAGAATCAAAATTGCCATCAAGTATCACAAACTCCTTATAACATTTGTAGATGAAGTTAATTCCCTTGTCACTAATATGTTCTTCATGGAACTCATATTCTTCACCATGCTCGTCTGTGCCCTTCTCTTTGTCCTCAACATCGTCGAATTATTCCCCCAAATCTGCCTCTCTTGCCTCTACATTATCCTGATCATGACACAACTCTTCACTCTCTACTGGACGTCCAACGAACTAATGGTTGAGGTAATTTCTTGAGGCCCTTCTGGACGAATTCAACTTTATTTAAATCATATTATTACAGAGCCTTAAAATCGGTGAAACCTTGTACGATTGTCCATGGTATGACATGTCTGAAAGGTGCAAGAAATTGATAATCATCTTCATGATAAGAGCATCTCGTCCAATGCAAATCATGGCTGGGAATATCTATCCACTCACCTTGCAAATGTTTCAGTCACTGCTAAACGCTTCATACTCATTCTTCACAGTCCTACGCAGAGTTTATTAGGCAACACTCCTCAGAAGAGCCCAGTTCTCTTTGCAGCTCGGATTTAAGTGAATCGCCTTCTGCACTAAATGCTTCTTTGAGTCATCTTGCAGCAGATTCAACGCTTTGAATGACACCATCAGGCACTTGGCGCACGAGTCCGGAGAACATTTCCTACGAACACAGACAGTGTATTTTCTCACATTTGCAAATAAAAAGTGCTTCATTCACGCCCTTACTTGTCTATCTGTCCAAATTCAATCTGCAACACTCCCTGAGACAACCGACTTGCGAACTTGAGATGCTTCGGCGAAGCGGCAAAGTTATCGAGAATAAATCCTGCCACCACTTTTCTCAGCTTAGCTCGATGGGGATATTTATGGTGGAGGGACAGTAAATATTTAATTGCCTTGTCCTTTCCCTCCTTGAGTGATTGAATTGATATTTAACGGAAATTCAATAACATGTTCTCCTCTTTAAACACATACTTACCTTGAGAAGGTGAAATTGGGCGGAGAGAAAGGCGATATGATGACAACTGTTTTCACTCATTTCCACCTTATTGAGCTCCTTCACCACCAATTCAGCCAGCTGCAAGTCCTTGTGGAGTATTCCCAAGGCACATGCAGCATAGAATCCCTCAAGAGGTGGATTGGGCAAATCTAGGCTGTACAGAGACAGACAAATTACATACAATCTCGTAACATTTTGCATGAATTTTTCAAATGTAATCTCAAGACACAAATAAATAGAAACTCACGTCCCAAAGAGACGTGAAGTCCCCCAGTGAAAATTGTCGTGGTCAGACATGCAGCAATACATGGAGACTGTGCCATTCATGGCCTTTAGTATAAGCATTTGGAAGCACATGGGAATGATTCTCGAGCCGAGATACACTAAATTGCGAAGATATTTCTACGTCTTCATCAATGTATTTCTCAACATCTTTCAATTTGCCTACCTCTTTTCCGCCAAAGAGCTAGAAACATTGATTCTAAACGGATACTTTACGTTCCTCTTCCTCAACGCAATCGTGAGTATCCAGCAATCATGTTACCTCCAAACACACATTTACAGATGTATCATCACCACAAATCAGATTCGCGCGGTCATTGTTATCAACAAACGCCACGATATTGAGAAATTTATGGCGAAAGTGGGTCATCTGTATGACATTATTGCAAATTCGAAAGACGAGTACATCAGCAACATGATAAAAGAAACTGGAATTCGTGCTCATCGCTTCTCAGTCATGAATCTCTGTCTCGCATTGACCAGTGGCACTTGCTTCTTAATCTACCCAGTCTTTGCGGGGATGAAAGGTTTGTTTTCACACCAAATTGCACTACATTCCAACTTCATTGGAAGCCTCTTTTCCCAGATCTTCCGTATGGCGTTCACATTCCCGGCATTGAGTATATGGAAAGTCCACTTTATGAGATTATCTACGTTTATGAGGTGTTGGTCACAGCTCCCGGAGCATCCCTGTACATTCCATTTTCCAATCTCTTCACCTCCTTTTGCATGTTTGCCGTGGTACTCGTGAAAATTCTCAAGTATAAAATCGAGAATCTCAAAAATGCCAATGACTCTGATGAGGCAATAACAGCAAAATTGCACAATGTTATTGAATACCACAAGATGTTGATTAATTTCGTCGAGGAGATGAATCAAATTGTAACATACATTTGCCTCATTGAGTTGGTTTTCTTCGTCCTTCTTCTCTGCGCCCTTCTCTTTGTCCTCAACATTGTTAAACTCCTCCCACAAGTAATCATGTCCTGCCTCTACATTCTCCTTATAATGACCCAATTATTCAGTATTTACTTGAATGCAAATGAACTAAGTGCTGAGGTAAGATCTTTTACTACAACACCAAATGAATTATTCCATTTCTAATAATATCCTTCCTTCAGAGCCTGGATATCTCCCAAGCAATCTACTTCTGCCCATGGTATGACATGAATCAGAAGACAAAGGAGAAACTTATGCTCATTATGGCCAGAACTCAGCGACCACTCAAGATTACAGCAGGACATATTTATCCCTTAACCCTGCAAATGTTCCAATCCCTCCTCAATGTGTCCTACACTTACTTCACAGTCTTGAGACGATTCTACAAGAAATAATCAAAGTACTTACAATTGATACAGCACATCTTTAGTGTCTCCTTCACCGTGGAATGCATAAACCATAGAAGACATCGCAATGAGGATTGTAGCTTGCTCAAGAGGCTCTAAAGTTTCCAGTTGCAGAAGATTTTCGTACACCTCGTAGGACTTTTCGTATTGTTGATCTGAAATAAAGCAGTGAAGTGTTAAAATAATCTCACGGGAATGATTCGGATAATTTAAATCAATCGTCCACACACCTTTAAAATATGAGAAAGCCAGTCCAAGATATGATCTGTAGGTGTTTTCTTGCACTCTCTCAAAAGCTTTAATAGCCTCACCAAATTCATTCGCTCTCAATTTAGTATAAGCCAAATTGCAAGCTATTATATCAGCATCCTTCGTATTCCTTGTGATTTTTAACGCCTTTGCAAATGCTTCAGATGCACTTCCATAGAGTCCTGACTTGTAAGACAAGCATCCCTCGAGACAGAGCTCAGCAGCCGTCGTCCTTTCACCTCGATCAGCAGTGCACCAAGTCATTGAGTCATGAGCCCTCGGCAGGGCGAACATATTCTCAATACAGTACTGATATCTGGCTTCCTTAAGTCTCTCAGGATCATTCAGCACTCCACATACAAAGCGCGAGTATCCCACTGCCGCTTCAGCATGATATCCCAATTGCGTGCAGTGCCTGAAGAGATCCATCGCCGCCTCCTGGTCATTCACTCTCTCGGCCGTGATGGCTTGCCCTATCCAGCCGACCATATACTCAGTATTGGATTGCTGTGACTGCCCGAAAGCTTTGTTTGCCGATCGATTGGCACTATCAGCCATACTTTTCATCTCTTCCATAATCACCACTTGACTTTCTCCCTCATCAACCACGTAATTTAGCCACTTTTCACCTTCATTGAGGTACATTAGCCCTAAATTGCTCCAAGACATTGCCGACGTCTTGTTCAGACGCAGCGATTTTACAAAACAATGCAGCGCCTGACACACGTTACCCAATTTCATGGATATTACGCCAAACATATTCCAATTTTGCCAGCGATTAGACTTCAAGGCAATTGACTGCTTCACATACAACATAGCCTTCTTTAGAAACTCCTTCTGTCTCGCGTCATGACTCCTGCATCCTCTTGAGTACATACAAGCCGCCAGATTGTACCAGAGAAAAGGATCTTTGGGATTCTCTCTCAAGCCTCGCAAGAAACACTTGCTGGAGAGCTCATAAATCTCGTCGTCACGCAGTGTCACAACACCTTCTGGGGTCGCATCGAGTGTCTGGAAGACACTGCTCACTTCCACAAATGCCAGTCGCTTGGGAAGATTGGCCACCTTGAGAAAAATGTTGCCCAAAAGACTCCAATGGCAACACAGTGATTTCAGTTCACATGCACGTGTTGCATAAAAGGCCGCTTTCTGCAGTTGATCTCGCATAGATCCTAATCTCCGTTGCTTCATTAATACACTCGCAAGTGAGAAATGTGCCTCTGCAATACCCTTCAACGCTGGCACGTAATTCGGCTGATACTCCAAGATTCCCTCGAAGCAATTTATTGCTTCGCTATAGTGACCTAGAATTGTCTTCATATTGGCTACTCGATACTTGCAGTAAATGTTATTTTCCGTCTCCTCCACGATCATTTGGTAAATCTTGAGGGCAGATGTGTAGGATCCGTTGTTGCAGTAAGCATCTGCAAGGCCTTCCCATCCCAAGTAGTCCTTCTTGTCAAATCTCAAAAGAGTCCTGAACGTGTTAATTGCACTGTCGTTCTGGTTAATTGATAAGTAGTGCAATCCCAGATGAAGCCACACCCACTTGAGACTCGGATCCTTCGCATGGAGAGCACTCTCAAGCAGGAGTTTCTCCACTTCAACGACGTTTCTTTCTTGGTTGTAGATTGCACATAGTCTCAGGAGTGCCTCTCTGTGAATTGGATTGAGAAGAATGCACTGCTGAAGGTTTTCCCTCTCGAGATCATCGTTTTGCATTTGTCCGTGAACCCGAGAAATCCAATAAAATGCCCTTGAAGATGTTGGATAAACACTGATGGCTTGAGTGAAGGCAGCAAGAGAAGCATTTGTTCTCTCCAGCTTCAAAAGAACCTCTCCTTTCAGTAGTAAATATTCTAGTGTATCCTGAGGCTCTTTCTCAAGTAAATCCAGAGCTTCCTGATAGTTCTGATTAAACTCCACTGCGGAAAATGCTTTTAAATACCCATCATTTAATAAAATTCCGTCATGTTTCAATAGAATTTTTGTTTTTGCTACAAGATGGTCTATATTTTCTTTATCCTTGAGACGATTACAAATCTCTAAGGCTTTGTCAAGCTTATATCCTTGTCCAATGTAACACTCAGCCAAGGAAATCTCCTCTTGTTTCAAGTGCTCCCAAATTTGAGCCGCAAGAGGAAATGTTTCCGTTTGAAAGTGAATTTTAGCCATCAATTTTAGAGCAGTTGCCCAATTTGGAGTGTCTCTGAGAACAATATCGACAACAGTTCTGGCTTCAATCACATTTCCTTCGTTAAGAAAATACAGACCTTTAGACGCCAAACCATGGGCAGATCTTGGATTCTTCTCAAGGAGACTCTCAAAATATCTTGGGATTTCTTTAACAAACTGTTCTGGAAAGCAAGATTCCAAGTATATCTTGCACATCCACTCTAAAGGATACTGATCATTCCTGAAGATTTTATGCATCTCAATTGCCTTCGTCACTAGAAGATCGTTGTCATCTAATTTGCTGAGCAAATTTAGGCACTTCTTGTATCTCTCTTGCTGATGAATATCTTTCACATCTAGAGTCTTCAGCAGACTGTCTAGAAAAACAGTGGTAAATCTCTCTTCAACCTCTGTTTGCTTGATCAGCAACTCGGACAAGTGGGCATAAGCTGATTCAATTCTTTTGGCATTACTTTCATTGGTATCATCCAGAGAAATTTCCTTCTGGAAAACCTCAACAGTCTTGCTGATCTCCGGGAGTTCTAGAGACACTTTCAGGAGTTTAGCGTGGAGCTCTTCGAATTTACTCGGAGTCAGTGCCAAGAGCCTCCCATAGATTTCCGGACATTCTGCCGCTGAAGTACACTGAGCCAATCCCTGAAGGGCAGAAATTGGCTCTTTGGAGAGTGTCAAAGCTTTTCGCAGGTATTTTTCAGCTTCGGCTTTTGAGGAGTTTTGATAAATAGCTCCCAATAAGACGTGCGCCATGTAATTACCGGGATCGGCTCTTAAGACTTCCTGGGAAAGAGGAAAAGATTGATTTTCTTCATGTTCTGCAGTATTTAATAGATTTTGAGGTTAACCAAATTTTACTTTGCATATCCTGATGGCTTTATCATTCTCCTTGTTCTTGAAGGCTACATTTGCATCCTTGAGGGATTGTTTAATGTCTGAAGACATTTTCAATTAGAAACACTTTAGAAAAACTAGGATATCGAGAGAAAACACTACACTCCAATTTTCCAGTCCAAAACTGAAATTTTCTTCTCAGCTACTCAAGAGACATCTATGCATCAGACAACAACATCCCAATCAACAGTGTGAAAATATGCATTTATTCGCAGGAAAATGGCAATATCTTATGTACATTCCTTAAATTTGTGTACGAATATGCTAAAAGTTTGATGGGATTTCTGTGAAGCAGGTTGATATGGTGGAAATTCGTGAAATTCAGCCGGTGTGCAATTGGTCGAAAAGTGGTATAAAATCCGCAAGCGCTACACACGCACACACGCGCCGCGCCGTCACACCGACAGACTGTCAAACAAAGTTTTCCCCCAAAACGCGGTTTCGACGCAGGAGTTTTCGCAGCGGAAAAAGCATGCCGGAAAACAACAAATGGGACCTAATGCTGGCCCTGTTCATCGACAAGAAGGACATCTTCAAGCGGGAGATATTGGTGTACCAGAGCGAACTCACCACTGTCCAGCTTCTGTACCAGGTGCCCGTGGTTCGGTAAGTTTCCACCGCCCCCCTCCGGACCACATGCCGCTCGGCGGCGTTTTTCCGCATTTTCCCACTCTCATCCTCATCTTGCGCGACAGGCAACTTTTCTCGCGCTGGATCCAGTCGCTGGCGGTGAGCAACAAGCGGAACGAGGAGCAGAGCAAGATGTTCCGGGAGCGCGGGAACGAGCTGTACAAGAGTAAGCCGCCCAAGTACAAGGAGGCAATTGAATTCTACACGAAAGCTATATACATCGCGCCCAGCAACAGTGTGGAGCTCGCCTTGGCGCACGCCAATCGCGCCGTGGCTCTGATGGCTGTTAAATACTTCCAGGTGAGATGATCAGTCACGCGATTCCACACATTGGTTAACACATTTGCCAACTCTCACCAGGAGGCCTATGACGACTGCGAGATGGCGGTGAAGTTCTCCTATCCGAAGGAGAACATCCTCAAGGTGCTGTTCCGACTGGCGGCATGCTCGGCGGAACTGAGGGACAGGAATCTTCTGCAGAAGGACATCAAGTCGATTGAGAATGAGCTGAAGAATCACAAGAACCACAATCCGCACATCAAGAAATGTAAGCTTCAATCCACCAATATTGACTGAAGAAGGAATTCATGGGCATTTTTTCTCTGTCTTTCTCTAGTGATGGAGTACAAAACGAAGCTGCAGGATCTGAAGAAGTTCGTGGAGGAGTTCAAGCAACAGCAAAAACTGCCATCGAAGAACATTGTTGAGAAGTATACAGAGGAGCAGGGACGATTCGTGACGGCGGCTGAGAAGATAAAGCGTGACGATGTGATCCTCACGGAGATAGCCTTTGCCTTTGTGCCTGTCTACGAGAACTACCCGGAAGACACGATTGACACCGACTGCCAGAACTGTGCCAAAGTCAATATTGTTTCCTTCCCGTGCTATGACTGCTACAAGGCGACCTACTGCTCCACGAAGTGCCGCAAGGAGCACGAAGGCATTCACAGTGTGGAGTGCTATGGGTACAAGAGGAACCTGTGGTACTACATCGGCATTGCCCACTTGTCCGTGCGCACCTTCCTCGCGGGCTTCCCTGAACTGGTGGAGCGGCTGGAGTGCGAGACGACCTGCACACTGTCCGAACTGTGGCGAAAGACACTGGATCTCTGCACCGATGAGACATTCAGATACGGTCGCGTGTTGCGTCTCGTGAGCAACTTCGAGAAGATGAGCGAGTCCACGGACTTCATTAGATACTCCCTCACTGCCACGATGCTCACTGTGTACTTGAGGGAGAACACCAAGTTCTTCGATCAACTGCCACCGGTTTGCGAGAAGATCCTGGAGAATCGTCAGAACTGGGAGATCTTCGTGGGCTCCCTCATAATGCTCCACATGGGACAACTCGTGAGCAATGGGCATTCTATCACTGACCTCCGAACCACTTTGGCATCGGAGATTGACTGCCTCGATTCCCACAATATGATGGTGAAGGTGGGAAAGCTGCACTGCTACGTGAGGAGCACGCGCATCTTTACGGGACTCTTTCCGCGCATCAGCATGCTCAATCACTCGTGCAATCCCAATGTGAGGAACAATTTTGACCGAAATCAGCTCACGTTGAGCGCCACCAAACCCATCAGTAAGGATGCGGAGATTTTCAACTGCTACGGACCAAGCTACAAGCTCATGAACACGGCGGATAGGAGGAAGGGCCTTAGGGAACAGTACTGCTTTGAGTGCTCGTGCGAGAAGTGCAGTCAGGAGCCTGAGGATCGGGTGAGTAAACACTATTTACCTGAATTTGTAAATTGTAAATCCTAACTATATTTTGCTTCTACTTTTTAGTCATATCATCAATACTACATTTGTGAAATATGCAAGAACAAGATCTACATTGACGAGTCAAAGAACTTCTGGTGGCGAAACCTGGAGCTGAAGCCCAAGATTGATTGTGAGACGTGTGGATTGAGGGTGAACTTCAGTTGGTTCAAGCTCTTCATGTCGCATTTGGGTGAGATTGAGTCAGAGGGCAAGGTGAGCAATTCCTTTGCCAAAGTGTGTGAGATTTTCGCTTCCACGGACAAGTGCATGGGCATTCACAATGAACTGAGACAAGATGTGGGCATCATGATTCTCTGTCACTTCATCCCCTTTCTTAGTAAGTATCATTTTGCTATTCACAATGTCTACAGCGGAGTTTTCTTCTAAGTGATCTCTTTTTGCTTTTTGTCAGGTTCCTACGTGTCATTCAATGAAAAACTCACTCAAATTGCCACGGAACTGCTGAAGCTGCGCGAAGAGAAGTTCGGCATTTACAGCATAGAGTTCATCATTGCCAGTACGTATTTGCTGGATCTGATGGCGCTGCAGCGGAAGCTGAATCTTAAGACCAACACAGACTACGGTGTAAATCACATTCGCAAGGCATTTCAGATCTTGTCAAAGGACACGCAGGCCATTCTCAACAGCTACATTAATTGCAACATTGTGAGCAGTATGAGCGACAAGTGAGCAACATTTTCGCACTAATCTCGTTAGTACTTGATCCCCAGTTTCATTGATTCGAGGTCCTCTCGATCCATCCTCCTAAGCTATAACCCATTTTTTTTTTAAAAGGAGGACAACTTTGGCTTCATTTCAAAAGTGTTGCTACAGCTGAGTTAATTTGTAAAAAGTCAATTGGATTCTTTTGATATAAAAACAAACAATAATGTGCTGAATGAAAGCTACAGTTCACCTTTTTGCGTTGGCAATTGTTGTGCAGAAGTTTTGTATTCTCTCAGAGGAAGAGATCTCCAAAACTCCTCCTCTCCGACATTTAGTGATTTATCCATGGAAAAATCGGATGGTGTCTTAATGTTGAGGAAGGAAAAGAGTTCTCGAGATTTGATGTCTTCAAAGGCAAGATCATCCAATTTGGGTTGTGAATCGCTAGCGAATGACATGTAAATTTCAGTGAGAAGGCGGCAAATTTCCTTCTCTTCAGACGTTTGATTCACTCGAGGATCATTTCTGTTTTTCAGCAGCATAAACACATCATCTCCGTGAGCGGCTCCATTGAATGTGGTGTCCTGGCCGAGAATTATGTGTCCGACGCCGAAAACGGCTGGGAATTGCAAGAAGTAAAGGAATGTCGGTGAGTGTTGACTGTGAAGTCGGACAGAACGTGCGATATCAGCTGCAAACATTCTGTCTGTGAGCATCTTGACGATGTCATCGAAAGAATCCCGAGAGATCTGCTTATCGCTGAGATAGTGTCTTAGAATCTGGTTGGAGACATCATGGGAAGTCTCTGGAGACACGGTTTCGTTGAAATCCAATAAGAATGGCGCCAATTCAAGCCAACGATCTCGAAGTTCAGTCAAGGAAGTCGAATCCAGGAGGAGTTCTGGTAAGAGAATGAAAAGGAATGAGAATTCTCGTGACGAGGAAGTGTTTGTGGTGATATTTACTGGCTGCAGGATAAATTCCGTCTGCGTCGGTGTAACTGACAATCCAGGGAAGATGAGCAAATGCCTGAGATTTGTAAATGAGCTCCGGATGAGCAGACAAGAAGGGATTCTCTGAGTTCTTCTCCACAACCACGCCAAAGGGTGTGAACGGCTGAGAAAGCCATGGCTGAAAAAGTGGCACAGTGCTCACAATCTCATCAGCTGGCTTGCCTTTCAGGCACTCTATCATCCTTCTGTTGTCTTCCGTTGCACATCCGAGGTGATTTGCTACCACACGTGCTTTTTGGAGAGGATTCTCTGCCAAAACCCAGGGATTGAGTGCACATCCACTGTGAGAAATCCCTCGGTGGAAGAGGCCAGAAGACAGAGGAGAGAGATAGTGAAGATGAACACTGGCTCCGCCGGCTGAGAACCCACTTAACGTCACAGAGTTGGGATTTCCACCGAAGAATCGGATGTTCTGCTTGACCCACAGCAAGGCAACAACTTGATCCTTCAATCCCATGTTTCCAGGCACAACTTCATCCTCAGTGCTGAGGAATCCCAGAGGCCCCAGGCGATAATTGACAGTGACAAAGACAAGCTTGTGACGGTGAAACATTCTCTCTGGACTGAAGAACGTGCCACTGCCATATGTGAATCCTCCTCCGTGGAAGTGCACGAACACAGGTAGATTTTCCTCCTCGCCGATGTGAGATGTGTAAACGTTCAGGAAGAGACAATCCTCATCACCATTGAGTTGATCTGAAGATCCTTCTCGCCACTGAAGACAGGGATTAGCAAACTGTGTGGCATTTCTCACTTCTGTCCACTTTTCACTGAAGATTTCCACTGGCTCAAAACGCTTCATCCCCACTGGAGACTCTCCGTACTGGATCCCCTTGAAGGCGAAGAAATTAGAGTGTTTCTCTCCTCGAATGGGTCCATTTTGCGTTGTCACAGTCGCTCCTTGGGCGAGAGACACTCCACTGATGAGGAGAATAAGGCCTAACACGTGGTTCCCCATTGAACATCACAATCACACTGAAACCATTGACTGAGGAATTTCAACACTCATAGTTCATACTCCACCTACTCTACAGTCAAATTGAGTTCTTCACGTTCTTCATTACATAGTTCATGGCTAAGTCAAGGGTTATCCATATCAAAATTGCTCTACTTTGCTCTACTTTTTCAGTAATCTTTACATGAAAGTAATGAGGGAGGTAAAAAACTAAGATAGTAAAATTAATCATTAAGTAACACTTTTTTTCATTTTTAAAGATTCACGGCCGCGAACATTTTTGTCCATTTGGCCTTAACAAACACACTTACCATAGAATATTTTTCACTACAAGATAAGAAGTTAATCCTTCGTGTGGATGTAAATATCTTTGGAAGTTTCTAACATCTTTTTCAATCTGTCTTTCTGTCCTTTCTAGAAAAATGATCTAAACAATTCATCGATCTTTTTTCAACAAAATAACCAAAATAACAAACTTTATTTAATTTTTGGCCTCATTTGGTATCCTGCAACCTCAGTTTTTTTCCATATAAATTTAATCACAATTTAAATGCAAGTTAAATGCAGACGGTTTTCGGGATCAGTTGTAATATCTTCACTTGTACTCATTGTTGAGAGTTCTTCCAATGACCAGGCGACGAACTTCTGACGTTCCTGCGCCAATCTCGTACAACTTGGCATCTCTCATGATTCTCCCAGCTGGATATTCGTTGATGTATCCATTGCCGCCCAGGATTTGGATGCAATCCAGCCCCAGTTTGGTCGCATTTTCAGCCGTATAGAGAATCACGCCGGCGCAGTCCTTGGCATTGGCAGTTCCTGCGTCCACAGCGCGAGCGACGCTGTAGAGATAGCATCTGGAGGCCACGAGGAGAGTGTACATATCGGCCATCTTCGCCTGGATGAGTTGGAATTCGCCGATCCTTTGGCCAAAAGCCTTGCGCTGATGAGCGTAGTCGAAGGCAACATCACAGGCGGCCTGCATGAGTCCAACTGGACCAGAAGCCAACAAGAGACGTTCGTAGTCAAGGCCCGACATGAGGACATAGACACCCTTTCCTTCTTCTCCCAGGATATTCTTGGCTGGGACTTTGCAGTCCTCGAAGATCAGTTCTCCTGTGTTGCTGCCGCGAATTCCCAACTTGTCCAACTTCTGACCCGTCTTGAAGCCAGGATAGTCCTTCTCCACGATAAATGCAGTGATGCCGTGCTTCGCAGGACCACTGAAGTTAGTCTTGGCGTAAACTATTAAGGTATCAGCGTCAGGACCGTTGGTGATCCAGAACTTGCTACCGTTGAGGATGTAGTAATCGCCTTTCTTCTCAGCCCGAGTCTTCATGGAGACAACATCGCTTCCAGAATTGGGCTCACTCATCGCCAGGGCGCCCATGTGCTCTCCACTGCACAGCTTGGGAAGGTATTTCTCCTTCTGCTCTTCAGAACCGAGTCTCTTCAACTGGTTGAGGCAAAGACTCACGTGAGCCCCATAAGACAAGCCCAGCGCTCCGCTGACTCTAGAAATCTCCTCGTAGACAATACACTGGTCTAGATAAGATCCTCCACTTCCTGACATTAATAGGAAAAAGGATATTTCTGCGGTTTCTCAATAAATCAGTGGAGATCTTACCTCCATACTCAACGGGAGCGGATATTCCCAAAAGCCCAAGATCACCGCATTTCTTCCAGAAATTCCTCAAGTCCTTGAAGTTGTTCTCCCTGTCGATCTCCTGAGCGTAGGGAGCCAATTCCTTCTGCAGGAAGTTGAAAACAGTTTGCCTGAGCTGAAAACCGAAAAGATCATCAAGTCCCGGATAGTCTGGAAAGATCACCATGCGATAGAGGTTAAACTCACTTGTTGCTGTTCACTGTTCAGTCCGAACAGATTCTCATCAATGGGATAGTGTGACATGCATCTCAGCGACTGCCAATTCGTCCTGAGGATGCGGTTCTGCACAGCAGATCGCAGGATATGTCTGAGAGCCATAATTTTTGCGCACTTTGGAAGAACACTTTCACTGTCAAGTGTGGCGGTTGCTTACGTCACGGTATTTACGTAACTCCCGCCTTTATCAGAGGATTATTCAAACAAGTCAACATATGCGAAAACTCCCGTTGGGGGATTGATAAGATGCCCATGCTGGGGAGGCAACGAGAAAATACATGGAAAGAAATAACTGGAAATACTGGAAGATTTAAATTGTGTAAGATTAATGAAACCAACAAACTAAACATACATTTCCAAGGAATTTCGCGGGATAAATTCAAGTTTATTCAATGGGTGTGAAATTACAAAATAAACCCCTAATCTACGCAGAGACGGACATTGGAGTGGGTTGAGCCTCGGCGGGGACTCCATCGCGGGGCGCGAAGAACACCCGGCGCTCTACGCCGTCCTTCGTGATGATTCCAATGCGGCAAACGCCTCCGGAACTGCCGTCATGATGCATTGCATGGAACACTGTCTTCTTCACGAAGTTCACGCACTCCTCCTTGGACATGTTCTCTTTGAAGTACTCCTTGATGAAGCCATAGACATAGGAGCTTCCGGATCCGCCGATGGTCACCTTGTCGCGGACGCACATGCCTCCCAAGGGGATAGAATACACCTGTCCACCGAGTGTCTTATCCCAGCCAGCCACAATTATGCCTGCCACAAGTTCATCCCTGTAGTTGTAGCAGTACTTCTTGAACTCGGCCGCTGCCTCAGACACCAGGGGCTCCTCTCCAGTCTGGTTCTCGTGGTAGTTCAGAGAATAAGCCACAATTCCGGCGATAGCTTGAGTATCGGCGGCGGAGCCACTGCGACAGCAATAAATGTGGTCGGTGATTTTGGTCAGTTTGTCCGTCACTCTGTTGGCCACGTATGTGCCAGTACTGGTGCGGGAGTCCGCCCCGATCACCACACCATCCTTGAACTCCACAGCCATGATCGTAGTCTGAAAACAGGAAGAAAATCAGAGAAATCATCAATAAACGCCCGTAAGGCAGTGGGGGCACTGGATATGGATTTTCTTTAAATCCACTGCGAATACTCACTCCAGTGCTGTGCTTGGCGTTCATCCACTCATTTCCAAAGTCCATGGTTGCTTTTCAACACAGAATATATTGTATTTTCAAAGAAAAACAGAGAAAATCTAGAACGCGTTTCTGCAATGACAAAGCGAATCTCGAAAATGTCAATTGATTTGCGCCACCTGGCGGAAAATCGAGAAAGACCTTCCAGTGAAACTTCCAAAAGAAGAAATTCTAGCAGTCGCGTGTTTGTTTACGTTTGCGCTTCTCCTTGGATTTGGACAAATTTCCTAAAAGCCAGGAGAGTCAGGATGTCAACAGATTCTCCGCACGTCGAGGAGTTCAAGCTGGATGTGGACTGTGAATTGAGATTTGAGATTGAGAGCAAAGATGAGAAAGTCACGGTTGAGGTGAGATTCATCATAACTAACCTCAACATTTAGGTCAAGATGTCCCTGTTTTTAGCTCCTTTCCGGGTATGCTGAGCTGTTCGGAACGGAACTGGTCAAGGGGAAGCCCTATGAGTTCACAACGGGTGCCAAAGTGGCGATATTCACCTACCACGGGTGCAATTTGAAGCTGAGAGGAAAGACAGATGTGAGTTACGTGGCCAAGGAGACGCCAATGATCCAGTACCTAAACTGCCATTCAGCACTCGAGGATATGCGAGCGAGAGCGGAGGGCATTGAATCGAATGGACCCATAGTGATGGTCGTGGGTCCCACAGATGTCGGGAAGACAACACTGTGCCGCATTCTGCTGAATTATGCTGTCAGACAGGGAAGATGTCCTTTGTATGTGGATTTGGATCCTGGCCAGGGCAGCGTGTCAATTCCTGGTACTCTTGGCGCCTTGCTAGTTGAACGGCCCGCGACTGTGGAGGAGGGATTCTCCCAAAAGGCTCCTCTAGTCTATCACTTTGGCCACAAATCGCCGGGAGACAACAATGTTCTCTATCAAACGGTGATCTCGAAACTGGCCGAAGTCGTTCTGGACGCTCTCAAGACAAACAAACGTGCCAAAGTGTCTGGTGTAGTGATCAACACGTGCGGGTGGGTGAAGGGAGCCGGCTACAGGCATTTGCTGCACGCCGCAAAGGAATTTGAAGTGGGAGCGGTGTTTGTGATCGACCAGGAGCGTCTCTACAATGAACTGCTGAGAGACATGCCCAACTTCGTGAGAGTGGTCTTCCTGCCCAAAAGTGGTGGCGTTGTGGAGCGCAGCAAGGCCAACCGGGCGGAGACGCGAGACCTGCGCATTCGAGAGTACTTCTATGGCCAGAAATCTCCACTTTATCCACACTCTTTCGATGTGAAGTTCAGCGAGATGAAAGTCTTCAAGATTGGCGCTCCGTCGCTCCCTGACTCGTGCATGCCGCTGGGGATGAAAGCGGAGGACAACATGACGAAGCTTGTGGCTGTTCAGCCGGGAATTAATCTCCTCCACCATATTCTGACCGTGAGTTTCGCCGAATCCGCTGATGACGACGTCATTCAGACGAATGTGGCTGGATTTGTGTGTGTTGGCCAAGTGGATTTGGAGCGACAAGTGGTCACAATCCTTTCGCCACAGCCGCGACCGCTGCCCAACACTGTTCTCCTGATTTCTGAGCTGCAGTTCGTCGACAATCACTGATGATATTGTTAAAAAGATACTCGTTTTCTGAGTATTTACAAATTTGATGTGTTCTTAAGAGAATAAATTATTATTATTGGATTTATTATACCAAAATATCTTGGCAAATTATCTGATTACTGGACAATTTGCTGACTTGATCATAAAACCATATCAAACGCTCGCATATGATAAAAAAAAATACAGAAACAATCAATCAGTGCCGAAGTACTTCTGACCAAAGTGATTCGGCGCCACGGGATGCAACTCCGACGTGAGGATCTTCATCTCCGGGAAGGCGGACACGATGGTTTTAGCTGCCATTGGTGTGCAGAACAGATTCGATAAGATGATGCAGTTCTCCGGAACACCGTGTTCCTTCAGCACATTTACCGCCTGGATAACTGTATTTCCCGTGGACCTGCGAACAAACATCCCGTGAATCCCTCTGTCGATTGGCCAACTACACTCTAGCCTTACATGATGGGGTACATCAGCAGCACTTGTCTTCGAGAGATGTCTTCGGGAAACCGGGCGTAAACCACTCTGGCAACGTGAGTCTCCGCATCGGACTCCACGAGGATCTTCCCGATGCGGATTGAGCGACAGCAGTCCCTCAGGCCCTGTTCCATAGCCTCTCCTGACCGCACAATCGACACTCCACAGTTCCCGGAACGATATTTGAGCCCATCATAGTTCGCTCCAGTCGGCGTCACTACTCTAATAGGAGAGTATGGAAGTTGATTGAGACTCTCCTCAATCACCAGACGGATCAATCTGTCGGCATAGAACTTGAAATCACTGCGACTGGTGTTCCTGGGGAGGCAAAAAAGACCCTTCCTGAGTTGTCCTCAAATCATTCACGTGCTATAACCTCACTTATCGCGCAGGATTGTCTGGAGCTCCTTTATCTGGTCATTTGTGGGAATCAGCTTGAGATTGGGACCATAATCACACGGCGGGGGTATCAGAACATCACCTCCACTTCCCATTTATGCGTAAAAAACTCACAAAAAAACAACACAAGGAAATCCTCCAAGAAACAGCCGGAGAGCAAAACAAAGAGACACTTCGTTAAGTTGGTGTTTATTTGAAAAAATTTGACGAAGATGATGAAAAATCGGGAAAAACCCGGGGGAAAATCAGAGATTCATCTTATAATTCACAACTGTGGTCATCTTGTGCAGACCCGTGGAGAAGGACTTAAGCTGCACTGCTTGGGCATTCTGGATGAAGACACCCTCGGTGTTGTTCCACTGGTCAGGAATCTCCGTGTCGCGCAGCGTGTAGATCAGCACATCGAAGGAACACACGCAATCCAGGAGCGGCAAGAAAGACACTGTGGCACTGATCTGTCTCATCACATCCCGGATCTCACTCTGAATTCTCTTCAAGTCCTTTGTCGAGGTGGCTTCCTTGTCATTTTCTTTCACGCTGTTCTCCGTGTCGCCCTCAATCTTGAAGTCCCAGCACTCGAGCGTCTCCTTCGTGTGCGCATTCGTGATCACCATTGAGATCTTCTCCACTTTGTTCTGAGAAATCCAGTCTTGCGCCTGAGCCAGAACTTTCTTCAGGAATTCCGTGATTTTCTCATCCTTTGACATAAAGATCGTCAAGCCGTATTGCTGAGTTGTGGAGAAGCTCTCTGGCGGATATATACCACGTTGGAAGAGGATGGAATTTACACCGTAATCTGCAAAGAAGGTAAGTTTTCTGCCAGTGAGGAACACAGCTTACATCCAGGCTCAAAAGCAAAAACTTACTGAGATATTCGCAAACAATTGTTGACGAACCACTAAGCGTGATGCAATTATTCTTAACAGTTTGCGCTACTTCCGTCATTTTAGACGAGAGATTGAAGAATAGAAATTGGGAAGTGCGTCTGCTAACACAAATAGGTGGGTTTCAAATCAGAAATCCTTAGAAATTTCAGAAAATCACTGAATTCTAGTCGAAAACAATGCGACTTCTCTGACGTTTTCAAACGGTATCACGCATGGCAGCCAACACGCGAGAGAATAAAAGTTCCCTTGAAAAAAGCTCCGCTTTTTCAAAAAAGAATATTCGTATAACTTCACTGCAAAGCAAACGTCAAGAAAATGTAAACAACGGTGCAAAAAGTGCAAGAGAATGGATGAAAAAGTGGAACACGAAGATGTAAATTGTTATTATAATCTTGAGAATCAATTAATTGGTGCAGAATTGGAGAAGGAAGAGTACAAGCTTGAAGAATTTCTGGTTTTCAAAAACAAAAAGTAAGTTATGAATGTCCAAAGGCTCCCTTCGCCTTCCTAAAGTTTTTTTTGTTTTAACAGGAAGGAAGATGTGAAAAAAGTGGAATCTGGAGGGTTTGTCACATTTGAGATTACAGGAGATCAAATTCTTGATGTCAAGCAGTACAAATGTTCAATTTGTCCGAAGATTTTTAAGAGGAAAATTTATCTTACGAAGCACTTAAAAACCCATGACAGGAAGAAAGAATACCAATGTAAAATTTGCAAGAAAATCTGTAAGCAACCGCACGCATTGGGAATGCACATGAGCATTCACACAGTCCAGAGGAATCACCAGTGTTCTTACTGCTCGAAGATGTTTAAGAGCGAAACTTTCCGTAAGAACCACGAAATTATTCATATAGTAGAACCTCAATTGTGTCCTATATGCAAGAAGCTGGTAAAGAACGCAAAACGCCTCAAGGAACACATAAGATTCAAACATAAGCAGAGCAACACAAAATTGAACAATCCTAAAGAGATGCCAAAAAACAAGCCAAAGAATGAGCTGCAGAAGCAAAGCACTCATCAAGTCTGCAACATAATTTCCCGAGATAAAAATGATAAGTGCATTGCAAAAATCGCCAAAAAAAAATCAAGTGCGAAATATTCGAACGCACGTTCAAAGGGATCGAATTACCCAAAGATCACATGAATACGCATGAATTGGCAGATTTTAAGAACTACTTTCTATGTGAAAATTGCTGTGTAGTTTAAATACTCGTTAAATTTCATAGAAAGTCTCATTTTATTTGAGAGAAATAGTGAGAATTTGACGATTCCTTCACAAATGACCCAGAGAAGATTTACTTTGTCCAGAGCTTTGCCTTTAATTTACTAGAAGTATTTGTTGTTGGATTGTGTATAGAAATTAATGAAGAAAAAGGAAAAACTTGGGAAAACCTAGTTTTTCAAATGGATTTTCTGTACGTTAAAATCCAAAAGTGACGTTGGCTGCTAACTTCACACTGTGCTGTAAGCGCCGCAAAACGTCAGACAACTATGTGTAAAAATCGTGTAAACAGAAGGTGTTGACGAAGAATCTTGTGGAAAATGGATATAAAAGTGGAAAAGGAAGACACAGATTATGATTATGACGCTGAAAATTATTTCTTCGATTGCGACATTGTGAAAGAAGAGTACGAGATTCATGAACCCAAGTATGAACCTTTGGAATCTGGTGTCGAAAAGTATGTTGTTGACATTTCCAATATGATTTCTTGGATTTCTTCCTTAAATGTTTTTCCTTTCAGACAAAATGCAAAAGGAAATGAGGAAATGAGCTTCGAGATTACGGATTATTCTGAATTAGTAAGCGACGATCACAGAGGTTCAATTTGTGAGAAGGCAATTGAGACACCAGTTCTTCCTGCATCACAAAATATATTTGTTGATCTGGACGAAATTCTGCTCAAAAAATCGTATATATGCAAAATTTGCGGAGTGGAAGCTCAGTCATCTTCTGAGCTGAAAAGACACATGTTGAGATTTCACCGATTTCACAATGATGAGCGAAGTTTTGGATATGATTTAAATGTTGATGTGGAAAAATGTCCCTACTGTCCAGAGCGATTTAAGACCAAGTCCAAACTCTCGGCTCATTTGATAGCAAATCATCGTGAACGTCATCTAAATAAAATAGGTGTTTAAGGAAGTTACATAAAAGATTGTAATGCTAAAGAAATATCTCTTCCTTCCATTACAGGTCCTCCGTTCGGTTGCTGCATTTGCAAACAACAATACGAGACATGGGACAATCTGAAAGAACATGTGGCAGTTCATGAGTTATATTTTCATTGCGATATATGTGTTTGGAGCTTCAAAAAGGAGTACAACATGATAAAACATAATAGATTTTACCACCCGTACATTAAAACATCGGAACCATCGGAAACATCGGAACCATCGGAAACATCAAAAGAAAAACGCTGGGAAAATGGATTTCAGTGTTCACTTTGTTCGATTACTTGTGAAAACTTGGTCGATTTACAAAAACATTCAATATTGTGTGCACGAGAAATGCGCAAAAATATGATGATACATGGGAAAACACGGCCGAAGAGGATCAAAAAGAAAAAAAATAAGATCGCAGAAATATATCTAAAATATGACCGAAACGCATAATTTTGGTGTTTAATTTTGATGAAAACTCAATGATTTATTCCCCTTTTTCTTTCTGGATTTCGTTCCAACGTCGAGTTGGTGTGGAAGTAAAAGAATAGTGAAACTGTGGATTTCTAGCTTACTTTTTATTCCTGATTCTAATTAGCTCTAATACAATTCAGGACTTACATAAGATTTTCAACCACTTCCAATCACAATATGTATTTTCATAGACAACACTGTGGAGAATATACAGGAATACTTCCACATTGCACGCGCCCTAAAGTTCCTGATTAAAAGCTAAATTGGATTCCTAATCAGTGTGCAAAAATCGGAATCTGCCCAGTAATTAGAAATTCACCACGACCATAAATTACGCACGCGGATCGCGCAGAAAAATTGGCAAAGAGCGCTTTTTGAGCGCGCGGTGAAGATGGTTGAAGTTATGTGCATGAATTTATGATCATTCATTCATTTTACTCATTTACACACCGCAAGAGCGACGGTCTGACAGCCTTGAAGATGGTTAGTTACCCTCGTCAACAGCTCTCAGCGTTGCGCACACACGAAAAAGAAGTGCATCTTTCAATCACGCTTTCTGCCACCCTAATTAAAAGGCAATACATTTGTCAAACGACAGCAGCGGAATTTCATATCAACTCTCGCCATAGAGCGCAAATCCACGTGACAGAATGCTTAGCGTTGTCTTTGGCTCTCCTTCTAAATTAATAATTGATATCACGTGCTTCGCCAGCGTTCATTCATTAGAGAGAACAGACGGGCTTTTGGGGCATTAGTAGACTAATAGAAAACACTGCAATTAATTAGAAAAATTTCCCTTTAGTCTTCTGGACATTGAAGAAATTCTCTCTGTGCTTTTCGGCTAAATTCAACACTACTTGGATTAACTGAATTTAAAAAGCAATGAAATATTTAGTTACTTGTACAAAAGGAGTCGAGTTTTGAGTTTAATTCCACTACATAATTGTATGTTTTGTATTTTTTCCATAAAGTATTAGATAATAGAATTCAAATTTGCCCGTGATTTTCAAGATTTCGCGTTTCAAGCACTCGCCAAGTGGCTCTATTGATGTGAAAGACCTCAAATCATGCGTTCGGCGCGGCCAATCGAGAGACAGTCATTGTTTGGGGGGCAAAAAGAGGGCAATCACACTCAGGAAATCTCCCATTAGAGCCCAAGAGCAATTCCTCATTCTTCCCGAAAATTGAAGTCATGCCTCTCATTGTTGGGACCAAATCAATTGGAGCATGAGCGACTAACACAACATGACCAATTGATTTGTTCCCAGCACTTTGTCGCGCACAGTGGCCATAACGGTGTCGGTCTCCAGGAAGGGACAAAAAGCGCCGAATTTGCGCCTGGAGCTTGTTAAATTCCTACGCTCGGCTGCATTTCGGGCCATGTCACGTCGCGTCCGTGCAGAATTGTGTGTGCCGGGCGAGAGGTAATGAGGCGCGCTGGCCAGGGAGTGCATCTCTCGGGGCGCGCTCGCGCAGTTTCACACGAGAGAGATGTGCAGAAATGCCTATGACGAGTCTGACCCGGTCATGAATCGCGGGTTTGATTGTGTGCCAAGCCTGCATCTGACAAGACGATGGGAATTGGAGATCATCAGCATCATTAAACCATTCGCAAGTCTCCCCTTATCTGCCTCTCGTCACTGCGCGGCACAATAATTCGCCGATATGTGGGAGAAAGATGGATCGTTGCGCTGTTAAAGTTCATTTCAATTTTTATTGTTGCGCGTCACTATTATGGCAAATGGATGATGATTGGGAATGACGATTTCAAGAGCGTCTCATCATTGATCTCTGCAACATTGTTCTGGCCATCCGGAGTAATTGAATGGCTCAAGGTGGAGATTCTCCGGCTAGAGTCTGTACATCACTTCTACAAGAATGCAACACTTCTCTAACTCTATCAGCACTTCAGTTGTACAGCATTTTAGAAGGTTCCTCCCTTGGAATGGCCCTTAACCTCGTCATCGACGAGCATCTCTGGCATGTGGAATTATCGCTGGGCAAATAGGGATCAGGGTCAAGTTGATTCGTCATTAATTCCTCCTCGGGACCTTTACTCTCTCCCTCGGGCGCTCTTCCCACTCTCAGCAAGGCGCAAACTGGTGAGATCAAGCACAATTTGTCGCTGCAAGAGTTGGTAATTGCGGGATAATTGAGGATGGATATTTTTCTCAGAGGTCGTCTGAAAAATAGTTAAAATTTTAAGGGGTTAAATGACTTTTCCAAGAATGACATTACAGCTAGAGAGACCCATAAATCTCTGGCGAAGGCACTCAGGCTGATGATTTAACTCTCACTATTAAAAATATCAATAAAAGTCGCTTTACGTCTCATTCAATTAAATCCACCATGCTAATCCCTTCGACTCTGTCTCTTGTCTATTCTTCTGCGCTATGCAGAACTTATGCGTCGTCGAAGATATCTGGGCAAATGGAGATTCCCAAGAAAGGCGCACGGTGCAATTTATTGTGGACTCTGAGGCACCGTCACTTTATCAAAATCCTTGCGAAATCGCAAGTTTATTGGATTTTCGTATTATTCATTTGATGGCTTCTTTGAAATACGACAGAGGCAAACTGTCCATAAAATGTTGTGTGCCTTTTTCAAATCATTTCCCGACCACTTTACGAGGATTGCATGCAGAAAGAGCGATTCCTTGGGAATTATTAATCATAGACTGGGACTCAATTTGCTCACAAAGAGTGGCATTTTTCGGTGGTGTGAGTCAAATGGACCGTTTGAGGATGCTGACGGCATTCAGTCTCGAATTTCAGTTATGCTCATAAATCATCCAATCAACTTCTTTGCCCAACCGCAGAATCGACACTGTGAGACATCAATAAAATTAACAAACAGTCTCACAATGTTATCACTTGATGACTATTCATCATCTTCGGCGGAATGCTTCTCCAGATTCCCGCCGAGAGTCCATTGGAAAAACATATTCTGCGTCCTAAAAGTGATTAATTGTCGATTTCTGCACATTGTCGCATCACCAGCTGACCAATTGTCACGCACTCCACTTTTAACAAGCATCATGGGTGAAAATTAGAAAGCTTAATTGCCAAATAACGAGCCGGAATTCTGCGAGAGCCTCTCAAATTCGATTGAAAAGAAGAGTGATGCTTCGAGTGAAAGTTTCAGCACCTTTGTCGCGTGTCTGTGCACGATCTTTTGGCCTTTTCTTCCGGACAACTCCGGATAATATTTCGCTGAACTAACAAAAATGATTTATTGTCATTCAATACGATTCGCGTGAAATAATTCACTTCATTGATGCGAACGTGCAAATCGATAAACGGGTTTTTCTATGCTTATTCATTCTTAAATCTTAAATTTTCCCCTGGAAAAGCATATAAAATTTTAACATGAACCACCTGCAGACAGAATCCATGAAAAATGTATCAATTTTCAAGTCACTTTCACTAATTTGGTGCCTCTGCTGTAGCATTGCTGCTCCTGAAAGCAACCAAACGCGCGGATTGAGCTCGAAAATAGCGAGGGTGGAAGATGCAAAGAGGAGTGATTGAATTTACTAGCTGAATTATTTAATAAATTCAGCATGTGTCTGCCCTCAAGTGTGCGTGCTGTGACACAGTCTTAAATCTCAGCTGCAACACCTCGCGAGAGACGTTTGTATGGAGTCTGTTTCTGGTGGAAAAAATCTTGAGACCTCATGATGACTGTCTCGCGAGCCTCACTCATATCTCCCTCACTCGCGACACGGCGTGTAGGTAGTCAATGGGTTATTGTTTGGTGTGGCTTTTCTATGTCGGGCGCGATTCCTAAATTTCTCTCGTGCATCGCGCGCTGCCTTCCTGGACCCGCGGCACACCTTCGGAGAGGAGCACAAAAAGCCACTCAAGTCACAAATGAATCACAGCCACACACAAATTCAGCGAGCAGTTGGGGAAAAAAAGAGACACGCGATTGCTTCTTTCAGGAGAACTCACGTGGGATGATGAAAAGAAAGTTCTCAATCATGCTCCAAAATCTTCACCCAATTTTATGCAAATCCAGCACAAAATGCTGTAAATCCGAGGCTTAACAGGGAAAATGAGGCCGAGGTGTGGTCTCAATCAAGACTCAACTGTGTTCCTTGCACTCGGTCGACAGGAGAGCGTGTCATTCGCTCAGTTCTTACTTTCTGAGCTCCAGAAAAATAAGATGAATAGCGCAAAGTGGACCAAATTGGATACTGCACTTTTCCAATAACTCGTGGACTTATTTAAACTTGTTTTGAAATGCGCTTTTGCGTGGCTTCAGAACACTTTGATTTGAATGGATTTTGTTTCTCGAAAATCTCATTTTTCTGAGCTTCAGAAGGAAAATGGATTTACGTAACAAAATATGAAATCTCATTGAAAGAAAACGCCAAACAATGCCGCAATCTAGTTCTTCGTCAAATCCATTATATTTTCACAATAATCTGCCCAAATAATTCAGCAACGCTTCAATTTCCTACGTGACTCTCGACTTTGTCACGGGCAACCCAAGAATTGCTACCAGGAGAAAATGGCAAATGAAATGAGTTACTGCGCACAGGCGAGAACTTTCTATTTTCTTGTGCCATATATAACATCATATTATAATGTGATTTTGATCAATTGTCATGTGAGATCATTTCAGGGCGGAGTTGAGTGATTGATTGAAGATCTCTCGCGACTAGTGCGATCATGTTTGGCTTTTGGGCGGCTCTAGCTTGACTCCAGAGGTGAAATTAGATATTCATGAAATGCATTTCTCTTTCAATTGTCGTCGCACGCACGGCGTTAACGCGAGACTTCCCAGAACCCAAGATTGTTGTGCATGATGCAGAGAGACAGATAAGGCAGAGCCTTTCCGAGGCACTGCCACGCCTAAGCGATCAACAATGCCTCGCATAATCCCAAATTTCGCTGTCATGCATTCTTTATTCACCTGGAAGACGCACGTCAATGAAGCGCGAGGCATAATTTAATTTCATCGCCAATTGCAGA